CGAGTTTCGACTTACTTGAGAATAGGGACAGGGAACCCTTGAGCGGGGCATAACAAAGTGACGGATCCACCTTTGATCATGCGAAACCCTCTGATGTCATCTATCGTTGGGAATTTCGGTTTGACGCTGCCGACCGGCTCTAAACATTTTATTGAATCTTATATATATACCACCGTCAGCTTGGGATACCGTCTGTATGCAAAACGACGGGGAACCCCTGAAGCTTTCGCTGAAGTTCATATCTGATTACGTGACCGACCGTAAAAACGTAACGTGACACGATGTCGTCTTTCGGCGCCGAACGATTTTCCAGTGCACGAAGTCACGAATATTCACAAGCGGTCTTCGTTTTAACATTTAACTCCTAAAAAGCATGGAGGAGAAGAGAACCTCTCGTCATAAAATCTGTGTATAATATAATCTGTGATTATATATTAGAGAATAGAATATAAAATATTACGAGATATGCATTGTCTCTTTCTCAAGAAATGAAAAAGTAGCAAATGGAAAATAATAAAATGAAACTACAAGACAAAATGTGAGAGAACTGCAAAGAATAATGACGTTGACATAAAGAACCTAAATGCAGTTACATCGATTCTTCATTAGGACCTATCAGCATTAGATTCAGGTCACATCGCCAATTAGAAGGACACGAAACGAGGACTGGCGCGATATGTCGGGCGTGCCGTCATTGCTAATTACCAGCTGCTGCGCCGCAAGTGCGGAATACTTAATCGCAATTCCGTAATGGAGAATCAACGCGAGAACCAACGTCAGTTTAAAAGTGAACGTCAGGCCACTGGCGACGATGTACCTATGCGACGGCACTGGAAAACCCTGCGCGGGGCACAGAAGCGGCAGGGTTCCATTTGTGGAAGTGGTGAGGCCGTTTATGTTGCTGACGCTCGGGAACTTCGGGCGCACGCTTCCCACAGGCTCTGCGACGAGTTTGCGGCGGATTGAGAGAAAGGGGAAAAAATTCATATTTTATGACGGACACCACGACTCCCGCGACTTACTTGTACAGGGGGACAGGGTGCCCCTGGGCGGGGCACTGCAATGTGACCGAGCCGTCCTTCGTGGTGCGGAAGCTCCTGGAGTCGTCGATCGTCGGGAACTTGGGCCGCACGCTGCCGACCGGCTCTGATCATACCGTTAAATTGGACACTTGCGTCCACGGCGAACGGTCGTCCCGAAGGACTCGCGTTCGTTAATTCGCGCTGGAGTAGTCTCTACCTGTACAGGGGAACGGGGAACCCCTGTGCCGGGCACATCAGGGCCGGAGAGCCTCCGACGGGCGTCCGGAAGCCGCGCACGTCGTCCGTCGACGGGATCTTTGGGCGCACGCTGCCCACCGGCTCTAAAAAGCACGCCGCTTTTGCTCTTGCGTCTCTCGGACTCGTTTCGCAGTTTCGATATAAGATATGGGTGAGCGAAAAGATGAATAACGCATCATCCTTGATATTTGGATACTCTCGAGGAACGATAACGAATGATAACACTAGCTACTTCGGCTAGACCAGCGAGAAGGAATAGGGAACCCCTGTGTTAGACACACGATACCACGGAACGCAGTCGTGTAACGACGACATTTGTGTCCTGAGTATGAATTCTAAAATCGTCCAAGTTGCGAGTTATGTGTGATTATAGAAAATCAATCGCAAATTATTTCGATAATCTTGTTTAACATTCAATGCGCTACATGTTCTAAATCTAAGAGGGCAAATTAATTTTTCAGATCAAAAAATAATAATATACGGGAATTTATTGAAATAAAACTCAATGAATATGTTTAAATTTTATGTATGTAATTAAGTAATATATGTATTCAAACAAAAAAAATTTATAATTATTTCTTGTGCGAAAATAACGTCCATTGTCGCTCCAAATGTCCTGCTCTTGCGCGCTTTGCCTGATTTGCGTGATTTATATTTGCACAATAGTCCAATAGAAAAACGAAAGAAATTTCTTACAAAATAGTATTAATAGTTATAATCTCTCCAAATAAAATTTTTATTTTCGTTCTAATTTTTTTTTTTATAAAATAAAATAAAGTAGAAGATAATTTTAACAAAAAATTTTAATCTCTTCTTTAAAATAAGCCAAACTATTCAATTGTTAAAAAATAAAAATTCTGGGCCGAGAGGCTGTAATCAGTGTTAGAAGAGGTATGATTTTTATCTAGATTAAAGACTCTTATCTAGATAAAATATGATATAATTATTTATCTATCTGAATAAATATATCTATCTAAATAAATAGATAAATTGACAAGTAAACTTATATTTTCCTTAGATACAGACGTACATAAGAAAAAAGTTTTTATCTAACTAAAAAATTCGTTTATCTCGTTTAAATGATAAGTTTAGAATATATGTTGAGATATCTTTGCAATATCTAAATAAAGACAAATTGTTTTATTTCTGTTTTCAATTTTCTTCATTTTCTGTAAACCAGGGGAGCGTGCAAGGTTCAAAGCAACAATGAATGCTGTGGATATTATTTCCGCATAATTATAAATTTGTTTGTTTAAATACAAATATAATGCTTAATTATATATGTAAAATTCAAATATATTTAATAGTTAATAAATTTAAATAAATTTCCGGATATTGTCGCTTTTTAATCTAAAAGAGTAATTTGTACTTTCAAATAAAATTCCTGGCTTCGTAATAAGTAGTGATTAAGAGCTATCTGATTGCAGGGAAAGCAGAAATATATCCATTTAACTAATAAAAATAAAAATTCCGACTGCTTCCTTCTATCCTAAATTAATTCCGTCACTCTGAAGTACGTAAAACTAATAGCTCGCATCCGAAACTGTGCCTTCACTTATTCACTTCGATAGTTAGCGATCTCCTGTTCTTCATATAAGTTAATGCTCGAATCATGGCCCAAATGTAAAGAGAACAAATTTAATTAATCATCACGAGCGCGCTGAAGTGAGTGTCTATTCAACTTGTCTCACTTAATATCCTCCAACGAATTATATTCCGTACTCTTGTCAAGATTGTCGTACCTATGAGATGGTACCGGAAATCCTTGGGCAGGGCACAAAAGCGGCATTTCGCCTCTCAGGACCACGGAAAGTCCATTCAAGTTGTCCATTGTAGGAAATTTCGGTCGTACACTCCCCACGGGTTCTGCGTAACGAAAAGCCAGTAGAGCCACGTACTCATAAACCCCCGTCCGTGCCGCCAATCATCGTTATTACGGCTAAATCGCATCTTGCTCTAGTTAGCCCCCAGATTGTTACATCGCACACTGTGCTCCGCCGACGTGACTCGACAACTTCGCCTTCGTACTATTGCGCCGCTCGTTGGACGAGCAAAGCGATTCGCTTATCGGTGTCATCCTGCCGATCAGTACGGTACTCGACGGCAATCAGTGGCGAAGCGAAAGTGCTTTTACACTGAATGTCGCGTTGTTAACGCGATGTCCCACGCGATAAACTCAGCGAATAAAAAAAATCTCTCTTGACTTTAAACTATCTGAATTACGTGATAAAACGAGCCGTCGAGTAAGCAAATAGTGGTCTTGATGAGCAAAAATAGATAAGTATGAGATTTTTGTGCATGTCAATTGAGCTGCATGTGATCATGTCGATTAAATATAAAATTATCTTGATTGCATATGAAATCTTTCAAGTCTTGTACGGATAGTAAAATGTGAAAAATTGAACTTTTCAGGACACCGATATATTTGCACGTGTTATGCATTTTTAATGCTCAAAATAAGACAAATATGACTGACGCACTGCGCTTAACGGCCGAAATATCGCTGCTAGATTCATTGAAGGAAACGAACAAAAGCCCGATCGATTCCGCTCAATTCACAGCACAGAACTGAGCTCAGCTGCATTGAGCGCCACGTCTAAACGTGCGCAACATCCACGGTGGAGTTCTCGGCTGAAAGAACATGTGTTCCGCAAACTTACCACGCGAGAGCGAAGGACAGAGCCCGGAGATCGCGGAAGGCGCCGCGCGAAGCGTCGAAAGAATTTCGCACACAAGACATTTCTCTCTATTTCTTTTATCTTCCATTATCATTTGTCTTTCTTTCTTTCATTTCTCTGAGCAATTACTCGAAACCGATCATGCCAAGAGTCGAGTTTTGGGCGGGCGGTGGCGCGTGCCCGCAGGGGTACCCTGTCCCAGCATTCAGGTCATCAACGAGCTTGATCGCGACATAAGCCAGGCATGTTTTCCATCTGACGAAAGAGAGATGATGCGAAAATGTCGAAAAACTTCCCTTGATAATTGACCATCCGCGTCTTCAAAGAAACTGAACGCAGCGATCAAGCTCGTTGGCACAAACGATCGCACGTTCATCGAACGTGATTACAAGACCGGGAGACAACTGGTTTTCTAACAAAATACGGCAACAAGAATACACAACAAGAACATCCGTCAAGATTAAATGACAATTGTTTGATATAAAGTGAAATGGATCAAGAGTCTTTTATATTATAGAAAATCAGTTGTCTCCTAGATGATAGTTCCGAACCCAGACACCAGTAATATAGTGGATGGTTTACAATAAAGGCGAAATTTGTCCAAATTCGTTAAATTATACAACAGAATATATCAACTGACACAATAGTATCAAGTTTATTTAAATATTGAAATATTTGTATTTAATGTTAAAGCGAAGAATCAATAAACTGTCACACAATGATACTCTCTTATATATATAATAATATACCTTTTATAATTAGACTATGTACTTATAAGAAGCAAACATGACGATTAAGGATGTTATATAATTGCACTGATCGAAATCTGACGTGGGAATGATGGTATCCGGGTCCGAAACTAGAAATACGATTCTGATTTCGTTCGGAAAACCAGACGTAAATGCAAGAAGATATTAATGAAGCTGTATCCCTCCGCTTACATCGAAGGGTGATCGAGAAACGTTTCTAAAGAGAGCGGTGCTGAATCAGAATCGTGATTTCCGTATGAAAGAAAACGAGACACTGTTGCGTTTCGACTCACCAGTTATGACGAGACGTCCCTTCGTGGCGGACAGTCTAGTTTCACCCGTGAGCCTGTGCTTGGTGCGGCATTGGTAGGTCTTGTATCCATCTTCGGGTCCGACGTCCCTAATGTGCAGTTCCCCGGACGGTAGTACCAGGTATTTCCCATCTAAACCCGCCCGAACAGATATACTTGCGTTAATCAGTGCTCGTTGGTCTCGATTACGCGACTCGTCAGGATGATCGATCACTAATTACTGAGTTCGATACTTCGCGTGATACCTCGCTCGAGTCGTTTAATTGATTACTCGATTAATTACTGGCATGCTTGTGCCGTTAGTTCCTACCGAGGAGACGTTGATTATCCTGACACACGATCGCACGATGCTCGAATGGCGTAAAATCGCGCGGCTTCGAGCACAATGCCATCTCTTGATTAATATACATGCAGTATCCCTCGTGCACAAATTCGCCGAACGTTTGTATGGCCGCGGACCATCCGTCAATATCCCGCTGTCGCAACGTTCGGCGAATTCTTCACGGAGTCCAAGCACGTTCGCCAAAACAACAGCATAGGAATCTTGCGCCTGTGTCCTCGCCTGCGAACACGGCGGAGACATTGAGCGACGTCGCGATGCAGAATCGCATCTTTTTCTTTTCGCAAGCGACCATTCACGACGCGCAATATTCCTCATTGCCGTTGAAACATCCAGGAAATCATCGTGGAAATTATCACTTCCCGCGAGCATCATTGAAACCGCATATTCTTCACATAATAATACATATAGAGGATAAAATGAGAGCGAGAAAAGAAACGTTAATTCTAAATACAAACTGAAAAATATATGCTGATATCGCAGATACATGCACCAACCACTGGAAACGCGTGTGTGCCCCACACATTATTACGTGTGCACATTTATCATTAAATATATTCCCGATGCAACTAATTCGTTCAAATATCTGGGCGCAATATCGCACGCGACTCGACAAATTTTATTATACCTTAACAAGCGCCATATAACCGACCTATTAACCCGTTCAAGTTACTCTCCATTGCGATGGAAATTGTAGTTTCAACGCCTCTAACGAATCGGACCGCTTTTGCGGCCGAGTTTCATCGACAAACGAGACTTCCTGGACAGGCGAACTAGTTCCATGCGATCACACACAAGCGGATATATCCATAACCATTTAGCTACTACCACACACGGAGGAGAGCACAGGTGAGAAGAGACGGATGAACCGATTGAACGGCAGGGAAAAACAGAAAAAAGAATCGGTGGAAAGGGGGATGAGAGGTCTGGAACAGCGCGAGCAGCGGCAGTCAACGTCGTACGAATTTCCACAAAATCCCACATTGCACGGTGTACTTTTGAAACGAGGGGCATCCGATTGCAAGAGTAGACATTTCCCTTCGTGTCTTGCAAGCGCGGTCGTGACACAACATTATAACACGATCGGTATTTGGTTGACACAGAGCGGAGGCCGATGGAACAATTTAGACGACCTGAATTCGTATTCTCGACGACTAAACTGATATCGACGTTGATAAAATGTTTAGCTTCTTTCCTCGCCATTCTCTCTTTCCCTATGCGCTTCTCATAGAGCCAAGTATTCGTTAACAGTCATCGCAATTGCTTGTCTGCGAGTTATCTCGCAAATTTGCCACGGATGCTCTCGTGACCGAAGCCTACGCGTTCTCTTATTCGTCGCGGTTGAGCCGAGGATCACTTTTTGCACGAACGTGAAGGAGCGATCGTCGAGCGAAATGTCATTACTGAATGATGATCGGATGACTCATGAGAAAATCCTTGAACCACATTGCGGTACACTAATAGCTTACCGAGCATCATAATTCTGCGTTTACCGAATGCTTGAAGCGTATCGTTCCTGAAGAAACGAATAATATGATGGACATATAAGTCTTTTACACGGAAACATATATAAAAGCAGATATGCAATCAGAAAATCGACCCCGGACTTGTTGAGGAATTATCCGCTCCTGAACATTTTATCGACTCTGAAATATTTCATATCGCAGAGATATTTTTTTTCGAAATTTTTCGATGAGAAAAGGGCAGAATAATACAATACCCCAAAAAATAATCTTATCTTTAGCAGAATCCTCTTATACAGAGTGTCTGATGATAAGTGAGAAAAAATATTCGTATACATAATATATATAATATAAATTAGGTCCAATTAAACACAAAATTCTTGCACCATTTTATAAACACAAAAATTTGAGTGATGAAATTTTGAGTTATTAATTACAAAAGATTGATGAGTGATGGTGCACTGTGCAGTACAAAACATGGCAGCAGTACGATTTCTATTGCTTGTACATTAGATCAAACTAAACAGAAAAGTCCTATAGTATTTTGCAAAGAAAATCATGTAAAATTTTGAATTATTAATTAAAGAAGACTAACAAGTAATCATGTCAATCGAATAACAAACTATCGGTCGCCAATTAATTAATAACTAATAATAAAAAATTTACATGGTTATTTGCAAAATAGTAGGAGCACTATTTTGCTCAGTTTGATCTAATTTTCTAAATGAATTATTGATATTCTTTTGATAGATTTTAATTTAAAATGCAGGATTACAGTAAATAGCATCTTGCAGCTATAATTCTTCTTCTTTTGGTGTTAAAGTATTTTTCTTTTGGTTTTAGGAGTATCTTCTTGAGACCATATATAAGAGGGTTTCACTAAGGATGAGATTATACTTTTTTGGACGGACTCGTTTCAACGTATCTATATAAAAATAAAATGCAATTCCTATTGAAGATGCATGCGCATTTTTCTCGATGATTCCTCGCAAGATACGACGATTATTTTGCGGATTGCGAGTGTCCCAGAAACAATGAGTCTTCACGCGACATTCGGACATAGTGGAGGCAAATATGAAATGTGTGACGCATCGTGTACCGTAATCGGCGCTAGGATATATATCAGTGGTCTCGTCTTCGATCCAAGAATCAACCTCGACGAATTCAGCGACGAAGCTCGGTATGTGACACTTGATAATTGCGGCGTTCCCCCGAAGGACATGTTCGTCCATCACGTTCACTGCATACCGCTGCCCGACAACTGCAACCAGACACCGGTTTCCGGTTTTACCATAAGGCGCACATCTACTTAGCAGGGCGTATCGATCGTTCGTCGATTGATCGCGATCGTATGTGTGTAAAAATCAGAAGAAATGTGTAGAAAAGAAGCGTTGATTTAAATAGACGACCACTTGCGACGAATATGATAATGAAACTCCAATATATAGAAATTAATTATTCTCACGTTACTAATAATACATGGAGTTAATTAATGGTCATTAATAAATGAGTGCTATCAATTATTGGCGCGTATGTTCCTTTGATCTTATGCTGGGATTTTACATAGATCTGTTACGAAATCTATTCCGTATTATTAATCGCCATCTTTTACGAATAACCAAGTTATAATACCAGTTTATCGCGTTACTTTCAAGTAAGCTGAATTTACAAATCGCAAGAAAGGCGTCTGAGATATTTCAAAGTGAATATTTATGTATGATTTGATACCGAAAAACTCGATCGGAAGATATTGCGTAACGTCTGTCATATTGGCTCAAACACTACTTGTTACTCGTATTCGACGTATTCCACGCCTTAATAAATCTAATTTAATTCATACACAGCGCGCAGTGCTATACAGAGAAAAATATTATTCTACTGCCAAGAAAAATGATTGCTCAGTTTACTTTTCTTTTTTTGAGTAATAGTTACTTTAAACAAAGAACATTTTGTTGATAACAGTCTTAGAATATACTCATGATAAATTTTAAAAAAACTCATTATCACGTATATACCTATGTATATATTCATGTATATACTGATGTATATACATTCATAAATATCATACTGAAAAGAAGAATTTATTCTCTTTACAAGAATATTATGAAGCTTTATTCAACAAAAGTTGGCTTGACTCTATGCAGTAAGTAAACCAAATTTTTGTTTTAATTCAATATTCTTGATTGAAATGTTAAAACTGATTCAGAATGTATTTAATAAATTTGATACTTATAATAAACTAATAATAGATTTGCGGATATATAAATTTATGAAATACATGAAACAAGTAACATTTATTTGAATGCAGTATGCATTTTTATGTGTAAGATTAAAATAATTGGTTAATATCGTAAAATATGTTATGCCGAAAAATTAAATGTCGGATGTTACTTCATAAATATGACTCAGTTTAATTAATCACGATAACGTCTTGGTATTTGTACTTAAATTTTAGAGTACGCGGTACGATCACAGTCAATAAAATTACATATCACAATTAATTTGTAATAAGGGCGATGTTTCAACAAACTTACGTGATTTGATTATAATAATTATCGATCTCATCATGTGTTCTATTAAGATTTGAATTCGCGAAGAAAGTAGAAATGTGCTTGACGAACGATCGAGACGGTATTCTTATGATTTTCACGACAATTCTCAATAATATTCGAACAACTGACCGAGCAAACAAATCAGACTTATTTATATTTCCATCTGTCTGCGAATAAAATATCTACGAATGGAATATCCACGATTTAAAAATCTGCTGTCGCAGCTGTTTAAGAATACGTTCCTGCGTTCATCGAAGAGAACTGGTCGCGCGACTGGTCTTGAAATAGACGCGATCGATATTGAATATTACGATTCGTTACATACATTCGCGATAAACAAGTAGCGCATAAAGAATGCACATCGTAGCAAGCGCACGAGCAATATTTTACATTATTTACATCACACACACTTTTTACGCTGTAAATGTATTCAAACCGGACAAACATGAGAGATGCATGGTATCGATAAGGAGAGAAGCGTGCAAAATACGCGCCAGAGATCGAGAGAAATCGACGATCGAACCAGTTCTCTTGTTCGCTGACTTGCGCCCATTTTAAACAGGACTTGTGTGTATATATATATCTCTCTCTCTCTCTCTCTCTTCCCCCCTATTCTCTCTCTCTGACTTCTAAGGGAGAATAGTGCGTGCAGAGCTTGTAATTTTTCACTTTTGTACCGTATGATTGTCCGTCGGCGACATAACTGCCGCCATTGGAATCGATCCAGCTCACTACGTCCACGTGGTCGGCCACGAATGAAGGAACTTGACACTTGAAAATAGCCGCGTTGCCGCGTATCGCGAACTGATCGTAAACCTGAACCTCAAAGTACTGCGCGACCACTGCAATGAAGCGAGAAAAAAGCCTGGCGTTTGTTTTAGTTGCAATTCACGGCCGGCGCTTTGATCTCGCCGATTAAAATTTCAATGAATTCGCTGTTAGCAAACTGACTACCGCAGCTCCCGATCGCGCCTCTAGTGAGCGCAGCAAACTCGTGCGCACGTGGACACCGATCCGATTAATCTGACCTCATCTGCTTAGGTCAGAGCGAATTAGATTTGCGCCAACAAGCAAATCCGTTTTCTTATCACCAAATTTGGAAACAATCCGGTGTGACGTATTCAAATAGTGCGTCGAAAGTAATCGGTATGAAGAATCATTGAATTTTTATCAGGCGGCCTTTTATATTCTTGTCTTGATATTTTCATAATCCTTTGAGCTATGCATTTTACTTCACGGTGAAATTTTTTCAAACTGGGTATATCGCTGATTGCGAATCTGAGATCAAGAAGTCAAAATTCGAAATGACGGACCCAATGTAGCGACTAAAAGTTTTCAAAATTACATGAACAAAATTTATAAGAATTTTGTCACAAGAATTTGGCGGAATATTACTCTTTAACTCTCTAAGCTATAATAGGACGCGTTTGACTGAATTAATAAAATTTCTCGTGAAATATAAACGAAAATTCCAGTTAGTCATTAGATTTCTGTTCAAGTTAACCAGACATCTTAACCAGATATTAACTTGAAAAGAATTTTGATAATTTCAACATTGCTGGAAAAGAATTTTGATAATTTCAACATTGCTGGCTCGTTCATGTTTTACCAGAAATTTAATTAATCAAAAATTTTTTTTATTAATTGTTTTTCCGTATGATAATCTCGTTTTTAGCATTATCCGCAAATAATGACATTTGCTTGATATAAAGAAGATATTTTGCATCTTTAACAAAAAAAGCTTGCAGCGCGCGCAAAAATGTTGTCAATGTTTTAATTTATTATAAAAAATGGGGTTTATACAGAAAATTTGGAAAGAATGTGTAAAATTCGGTTATCTTGAAAATTAGTTATCCTGAATAAACTATTAATATTTCGATATGTCGATTAATAAATAAATAATAGTTAGTCTTAAAATGACTTTTTTGTTTTGAAAAAAAGTGCTTTTCTTTATTTTATCTGCTTATAATAATTTAACAATTAAGTATTTCAATTATTTTTTAGTTATTTTAGTTATTTTTAATCTCTTTTATTTATGAGAGTACGTATAATAATAATAATACTATCTCAGTCGATAAGTTAGTCAAAATCATCATAAAAACAAAGTAAAAATAAAAACGCTAGCATCCCATTATGGCTCGAAAAGTTAAAAAATAATATTGCACCAAATTTCTGTGACAAAATTTTTATAAATTTATAACTAACTATTTATTATCACGAAACGCTTAATAACGTTACATTTTTCTTCGGTTCAGTCGAACTCGTTAATTATCAAAGTTATATTCGAGTCAAGTCTTGTTGAAATCGACGCAACAGTTTCTCCTTTTTACTTCGCAAATCCGATATGGGAGATTAGATTACACTGCTTTTGCATGATATATATTCCAGTTTTGCATATATACGCCTTAGAAAATACATATATAACATCTTCCTATTTCCGTAGCTGTAAAACAGATACGAAAGCAACTACTCGTACGAGAGCGTGATCAGAACAAGGGAACGGCAAATTCGACATGTTAACGCTGGCTCGGTACGCCCTCACCTCATTAATTAATATCGCGATGTCTTCGACTGCCGGCCGCGGTGGCCGTAAAGTAAATTCGATTACGTCGCCGGGAATAACCTTAACGATTCTCTCTTTACTGTAAGTGGATCAGGCTGGTCGCGCGGGCGTTAATTCGCTTTCGGGCCGATTAATCCGGCTTAACCTAATCCGAGGATCACGTCGAACGAGGCCACTGCCAGCCGCATGCTCTGCCTCTGCTCATCCTTACCGATCGCTGAATCGGAAAGGGCGAACTTTCCAGGCAAAATTCGCATTCCACTCCATCAACCCCAAACCCTCCTTTCCACTATCCTGAGGAGGATATTCGCCCCCTCTGCTAAAGAAGAACGTATGCACCAATGCACCGTCTCTACCCATCTGGGACGTCGTAATTTAATTTGCAGAGTCATCACAAAGGTAAATGCTTTCAAAACAAGAAACCGTAAAACAATTATAGAGAAGTAGGAGGACTTCATTCGGAAAAATCAATTAGTTGATGGAACAAGCCGCGTTTACTACGGTGATTAATTTCCAATTGCGGAAAGGAATATTATAGAATATGGTAGAAGCTCAAAGCAACGTCATTTCGTTATAACGTTGATCTTGTACAGTCGATGTAAACTCTAAGTACCCTTTTCCTGCTGGTTATTCGCGCTATACATGGAGCCATCCTCATCCTGCCATTCAATCACATCTACAAAATCCGCCACAAAGCTTGGCACGAGGCATTTCAGGGTAGCCGCATTTCCGCGTAAGACAAATTCATCGATGACCCTCGTCTCGTAGAATTGCTGGACCACTGCAATGCGCAATTTCCCAGAAGAGATCGTGATATATTATTTGTCATATGGAGTTTCAAAATGGTCTATCTCGACGGGCGCTACTCGAACTGAACCAGCAGACAACCAAAATTGCGCGTGACTATCGTACATTTTCGTCATCACAACTACAGATGTGAACTTGGCATCCAACTTGAACGAAAGAAAATGTACTTTGAAGGATAAAAAAATTTGAAATAAGGAAGTTGGATCTCATAGAAAAAATTTCGGAAAAAATTGATCACGTAGCAGAAATTAGTATTTATTATTTAAATATGTTGTTGTTAAAACTGTTAAATAACTAAGTAAAAAAATTAAAAAGTCGACATTTTTAAAAAATCTAAGCTCGACATTTTTAAAAAATCTAAGCCAATCTATACACCATTATAAAAATAGAAAATCTAAACTAAATCTAATCTATACACGATTATAAAGAGTATAAAATACTAAAACTTTTGTATAAATTATTTTTTCATACAACTTATAATTTCAATAATGCTCACTAAAAATTAAATTTTCTTTTATCTTCAAAAAACTATTTCAGCTCTTAGGTCCGTATTAATAATCATTGTTTGAAACTTCTTTCAAATGAGGCACTCAGATTTGAGTTTAGAGTTAGATGGGAGTTTGTTAGTTAAATCGTGATTACAGATATATCACATATATTATATAAGGTACCGAATACATTTGACGCAGCAAACATTTCGTAGCACTATATGGATCAAACAATCTTGGAAAAGCGTTTGCAGCCCCAAATGGATCCTACCTATAATTTAATAGAAAAAATGACATCTAATTCTGAATAAAAATCTAAGAATCCCGCATGAAACAAATTTCAAATAACGACTATTAATGCTATAAGGTCTTAAACGTCGAGATAAACACAAAGAAACATAAGACAGTTTAACATTTTGATTGATTCAACACATTCAAATAATAATCTGTTAAACAACAATTAACTTTTTTAAATTTTTTATCCTTTAAAGCATAAAAAGAACAAAAAGAAACCAATCCACGTTCAAAATTTATTTCGTAGAAATTAAACACCATTCACATCAATATTGAAACCATTAATATTTTCAAACTTATTTCACTATATCGACATTTGGACAGTTGGACATTAATTTCGCGCGGACGTACACTTAATATAGATTTTTCCCTTTCGTCCCCTTCGCACAATTGCATCAGAATTAATCCGAAAGTAAAAGTTGGGACTCCGTGACGACCGTGCGAGCTGCAGCCGACAGTTGCCGAGGGACGAGCGAGAAGAAAGTGCGAGCGCTCGTTTGAGGGAGGGAAATGAGAATGCGGGGAAAGAAGAGAACAAAAGCTTTTCCGCGGACAACCGCGCATACTACATCGGTATCGACCGGCGTCATACCGTATTCCTGGCCGGCCGTGTAAATTGTCCCGTCGTCGGCCACCCACTGATCCACGTGGACGAACTCAGACACGAAGCTTGGTATTTTGCATTTCATGATCGCGCTGTTAGCTCGGATCACGTACTCGTTCTCGGCCTCGGTGACGTAGAACTGCGAAACGACTGCCGGCGCGGGCGATGTGTTAACTCTTTGAAACGCGATTGAAAAAATGCACCGCCCGTCGTCTCTTCAAATATTTAACAATTCGTCTAGACCTCTCGTTACGTAACGGGCAATCAAATAGTTCAGAAGTGGATTTAAATATCTTTTTCGTACTTTTTATTACCAGAGATACCGCAGGTAATACTAATTCTCGTTTTTCATGAACATATACCTACGAAGGTATGTATTCCCAAAGAATTAAAGTGAATAAATTGATAGATTATAAAATTATCCATGAAGCACGCTGATAGGTTTGAGTGACAGAGTTTACGAATGTGTGTGTGGATATGTTATTCCTGTTAGCAAGATTAACAGACACAAACAAGTCTTCCACAAAAAATTTACGCCGAATTAGGATTGAGAAAAAGGATCAAGAACCAATGTAATAATTACATAAACTACTTTATCAAGAAACTGAGGGAATTAATGTCAATTTTTCTTATATTGAAAATCAATTTCCTCAAATTTACTACATTATTGTGCGCTTTAATTTTATAGACGTTATTGGCTTGCTTCCAATATCCGTTTTATTAGAATGACGTTTATTATAAAATATTAAAATACGCTATCTCTCCTAATTCGCACAAAATTTTCCGTTGGATATTCATAAAATAATTGAGAACGGCCAAAGATCTGCTAGTACCCTGCCCGAGCGCAGGATCTTCCGGAAGGTAGACCTCTTCGTCTTCGCGAATCCAAGCCTCGACAGTAACGAATTCCGCGATGTAGCTGGGAATACTGCATTTTAAGATCGCGCTGTTTCCTCTTATTACGTATTCGGTCAAGATTTCTGGGTTGTAAGGCTGAGTGACGACTATGCGGGGAGTACAGATCAAAATTAACAAAATGTTCAATCACAGATATAAATAAATATTTTGCGTCGTTTTGATTAAAAATAAAACTATACTGTACATAAATGCAAAACGTAGGTGTTCCTTATTTCTGAGTTTGTCATATTATTGTACTTGCAGATGTGGGAGAGGCATTTGTGCCTCGAGCAAGTGAATCACTAAGCAGAAATGTAAAATTAGACGCTTTATTCGTTGCTTGGCTTGTGAACCAGCGTTCTGAGAAAGTTCAAACTGTTTAAAGATACCATGCTGCTGAATAAATCAAAAGCATACAAGTATTTTTAGAAAAATCTCAAAGGAAACCATATTCACAATCCCCCGTATCTCAAGAATACTTTTATTCTATCGAATTCAATGAAATAAACCACGAAAGTGCAGTCGCTAATTAATCATCGAACTTATTATTTCCAGAAACTCGCCTCTTTTATGCCTCGCTCTTATTATATTCATGCATTCTGCACAAATCTGCCGAAATATCCTCATTAGACTCGGAGATCACGGGCTATACGGGATTACGGGGGTGTCGGAATTTTCACTCTGGGATTTCCCTGCGTAACTTCGGCCAAGCTGCCTGACATTTTCCACGTTTCGTCACGGGCGCAAGTTGCACGGCTTATTTTCTTAGATCAGCCATAATTCGCGGCGTGAGAGCCACCGGATGGTTCATTAACCCTCGCGTATGTATGTACTGCCGCCGCCGTTCAGCCGCCGTCCAGACCAGATCACGCGGCCGGCGGAAACGAATCGTTACCACGTGCCACTTTGAACTTCGACAAAGTTGGACGCGAGGGAATGGGGTGTCCGAGTAGCAGGGAGACAGAGGGTGATACGACCGGAAAGAGAATTTCCTTGCTCTGTGTACTCATCGTATGTACACAGAAAAAAAAGATTTGTTAATATATGGACAACTAAAATTGTTAACTGCAGGACCAAATTTTCTTGCTTTCATAGCAAAGTTATTTAGTTGTGATAGCTAAAAGATTTGCTAATATATATATATATCACAACTTTTAGCTATCACAATTAAATAACTTTGCTGAAAGCAAGAATATTTGTTCCTGCAGTTAATATTTTTAGTTGTCCATATATTAACAAATCTTTTTCTTCCATGTACTCATCGGCCGACGTGTTTATCAGCAGTAGTTAAATGTACAGTTTCCGTATTACAAATCGGCCGAAGTGTATCCAAATAATCAAATCCAATTAATACATAAGGAACGTACCAGACCTAATACGCACGAGATACGTAAATTATATAATAATTTACTCTTAATAATAAGTAAATAATAATATGTTATTATAAGTTATTTTTGTTATTAATTATATTATAAAATAATTTATTTTTAATAATAAGAAAATAACAATTTATCTTAATTAATGTAGTTTTAATCACATGTTTTTACGAGAACAAAAGTAAAACATGAAATGTGACGTAAAAGAAACCATAAAGAAGATCTACTTTAAGCATGTAATCTTTAATCAGAGAAGACTAAGATATAAAAAAGATAAGACAATAAGAATTATCATTATTATTATTATATAAAAATGTTAGATATTATATAATTTTATGTCACGGTAAAATATACTGCAGAAAGTTTCAAGTGCTAATTATGAGAATACTTGTAAAATATGAAATAAACACGAAGAGTATGCTAATCTAAAAATACTAAGATCGACTTGGTTAACTCGGATAAGCTTAACACAACCACATTCCGTGCATACTAATGACAGCGATACAACGGCGAGCTCTCCGTTGGAATAGTAAGCTAATAATGATACAACTAACAGCGCATGTTTGCTTAAATAATTAAAACAGTAATAGTAAAGATAACAGCATTGTTGTGCCCGAGTTGGATGAATGAAGGAGGAAAGATATCAAAAGGCGGGCGAGTTGAAAGAGCAATATGAAATCTTCTGGCCGGCGTATCACCCGGGAATGAGTTCCCCTCTGGGAGACGAACGATAGGAGAATAAGCACGCTGAATGAACGGGAACACGTGCGTGTGTACCATAATCGGTAGAGGGTCTGAAGGTCGAGCCGTCGCTTCCTACCCACGACTCCACCGACACGAATTCGGCGACGAAGCTCGGTATGGTGCACTTCAAGATAGCTGCATTGCCGCGAATCACGTATTCCGACACAACTTCCGCCTCGTAATACTGAGTCACGACTGCGAAAGATAATAGAGTATTATAATGGCGCATTGTTTAACTACATCGCATCTCTCGCACGCTTCCCCCAACAACGTTGCCGCGTGCTTAATCGAGGAGAATCAATTTTCCGGCTTCAGAATGCCTGCAACATTTTGCTGGTCGCGCGGGCCGCTTGAAAATTCGCATGCTGAACACAATGCAATCGTTACGCAAACTTTTTCGCCGTATTAGCGAAAATGAAGTGTATTTCCTCGGGGAAAATTAGCCGATGGTGATCTCAAAGCGCGATCGCAACCAGCTGCTGCCTTAGCGCAACTAATATTATACAATCTGATCCGTTCCACGCCGTGTGATTACAGAAACTGGTTCTCAACTGGAAAGCACAGGCCTCACGAGAGATCCGGGTTACATAAGAAATAATAGTAATTACACGATCTTGTTAAGTGAGACGTTAAATATTTCAACGCGCATGAAACGTCCCACAGCTTTCAGGTGAACGACATAGAAGAGACAGCAGGTTTAACGAACTCCGCGAGAAAGCTTGGGCCTTGACGTGGATCAAGCTGAACGTGAGTTATTCGTCAAATTCGCGACACTCGCGGCAATTACATGAAGAGAAATGTATTACGCGACGTCGACGACGTTGACTGGTCATCGTTTGCTGCACGCGCGCGCGCGCGTTCCGACTTGCCAAATCTCCCACAGGCTTCGAATTGTACCGTTTGCCTGGTCGGGATCGAAAGAGTTCCCTTGGTCATCCTGCCAGCCAACGACCTGAACGAACTCCGCGACGAAGCTCGGTATGCTGCACTTGAGAATGGCCGCGTTGCCGCGAATTACGTACTCGTTGTTGACTTCCGACTGATAGTATTGATGCACCACTGCAATAAACGGACCGAGTAATCCGCGCGAACTCGTTTCCTATTTAAGCACAACGTCGTTCATTCATGTCGTTTGAATTTCAAATGACTGGTGATACGTTTATCGAGGCAGTTGCAGCGAATTGCGTCTCATAATGTCCCTGTTCTGAGCCGCTCGCCTACAATGTAACTTGTCTCGACGCGAAAGTACAGTTTTGTAGAAATGCAATGTTCGTGGGGTCTATCAGGCTTTATTAAACGCCAGCCGATACGACCTACGAAACTAATTTCCGATTTAAGCCCGATGAAACCTCGACGACGTTGACGGCAGCTCCGGGCGATCTACTTCGCCATTGTCTCGCAAGCAGAATAATTCACATTGTCGCATCTTACGTCGCAGTCACCGATGAGCAGGCGTGATGATACCATAAAGGCATGGTGGCACGATCGATTGACGTCCAACTTGGGTACATGCGTATATGTATAAACGCGGAGACGCGTATGCAAGTCTGATCAATTGGATGCGTCGATATTGACACTCCAACAAAGTTTTAAATATGGTAAAATTTACTCTGTCCTTATTAGATTATGTAAAATCACATTTAATCGTAATTGCGAGAAAAGACTTGTGCGATCGAAATTGGAATGACAAGTTTGAACAATTTCTCTCTTTGTAAAATATCAAATAGCCAAATAATTAATGCATCAAAATAATCAACATCAAAAATACATGAAAACAAGTCAAATGAAATTAATTGAAATCATTATACAATTCTATAGTTTATTATCTACTTCACCATATCATTATGATTAATCATTATATTTGAACAATTTCTACTTCTGTAAAATATCAAATAGCTAAATAATTAATGCAACATCAGAAATACAGGAAAGCAAGTCACGGCAAATAAAATTAATTTGGAATATTATAGCAGCGCTATAGTTTATTATTGTCTTCACCGTCTGTAGGATTAATTATAATTAATTAGAACAATTTCTACTTCTTTAAGATACTAAATAGTTAAACAATCAATACGAAAATACATGAAAAGTGACACAGCAAATGAAATTAATTGAGAATATTATAAGAATGCTGGAGTTTATTATTGTCCTTAGCGTCTTTATGATTAAGTAGCACTGTTTTTGTAACCCAGAGTAAGCAGCATATCTATAGTGAATCCGAGACGAATTGGTTTTAAAATATACAGACGGCGCGTCGGACACGAGTGCCGTGTAAACGTGTGGTTTAACAGAAAACCGAGAGAGACGAACGCATCAACTATCCGATCGTTTCGGCTAGCACGGCAAATATAACGAGTTGGAAGCGACGTTAACGAGACGAATGACGATGCGCCCGTATACACATACGCGCCGACCGTGGAAGTGGAAAGTGAGCGACCCATATACTTTCGCGCTGCTCCGGTCCAAATGGATTTGCATTTCGCCACAGTGGCAATTGAGATCAATATACGAGAAGCGACCCGGTCGCACGGATGGTGTCAGTTACTCAACCGAACGACACCGTGCACTCGCCACCGAATTGGAACAAACACGAACGATGTAACGGTGTCATGTCGCTTAGTCATTTCTGTGAAGAGTGCAAATCAATCGAGAAATAACGTCGATGAAACTGCCGACGCGAAATTCCGAGACAGAGGACAAATGTTATTATATCGTCTTTGAGAAAAACGCGTTTCCACATCTAATGATTATGCTGATCTGAGTTTCATATTGTTACGAGTCCTACGAGTTCTTAAGTCCGCTAAGCTACTGAAAAATTGCAATAAAAGTAACGTCTGCTTTTCAGATTCATGCCGATGTAGATATCATCGCACGGCGAAGATGCAACAACGGAATTGTTTGCTTGGGAAGAAGCAAGGAACTCGCTCGGTTAATTCGATCGAATGCTTCGAGGAATACCAAAGTCATCGCCGGGTACGAATTCCTCTCCTTGATCCGTGTGCCAGGACAGGACTTTGACGAAATCGGCGACGTAAGAAGGAACGACACACTTCAAAATGGCACTGTTCCCACGGATCGCATACTCTTTATTGACGTCGGTGTCGTAATACTGCGCCACCACTATAATTTAGTACACACAAGATAACGTTCGTAGACCATAACGAGCATCGTTTCACTCCAGTCTCGATAGCTTCTAAAATCTTTCGAATACTTCCTTTTTCTTATAACAAACGTACATAATTTTATTAATCAAAATGTTTCCATATATACAATATCTGTCTTAATAGTTTTAATTTTTAAATTAAAAATAAGAAATTTTGTCAACATACTTATAGCTATAATACAGATAAAATTTTCAGAATAATTATTGTTGTATATATATATATATATTCACAAAATAGTTCAGAACAAAAGAATATCTGTTAGGAAAAATTGTTCTTTAATGAGCGGGATGAAGATACTAGTGGAAGCTGCTTTGCGGTCACAAAATGACGTGACGTCAAGCATAATGTAATCATTATATGATTCAGAAGTGTTTTTAATCGCGATGACATCATGTAGAAATGAGATTACGTATCCAGTGCGTAAAAAGTCGCGCTCTGATTGCGAGCTGATTGAGACTGGAGAACAAATCGAAAATATGTCGTCATAAACGGCGGCGGCAGAGATTACAAACTGTTGAAGACCAACGTGACGTAGCACTCTAACCAGACGTGTCTAATTGTCTAATTTGTATATTGCATAATTGACACCGATGTCTTTTACCAGATTTAAGTTCTTCCGAGGTGAAGCGTCAGATAAATATAAGGGAAATGAAACGCACGAAAAAGACGTGCTACGCGTATCCACAGCTGAAAAGAATAACTTTTAATTTTCTTATGTTTAGCCATCTCATATTCTGCACTAAAATGTAATTTTGACTTTTAAACGCATATTTTAATTACCACACGAACATGATAAAAAACTTGTTAACAAAAGTTTCTAGCGTTTCCAAACTGTACGTTAAACTCAATATAATAATTCATGAAAAGTAACTTTTCATGTTACATTTGCATATTTTTCGAACATTTTGAATAAAATAATCAAGTCATCAAAAGACAATTTTATTTCGTTATGCGTAATGTTTTTAAAAGCTTTGACCTCAATTTTAGTGACAATTTACCTTGCTATATTGGAAACGGTTTGAAATATTTGAGTTAACTGCGCTTTTCCGCATTTTTAACTGCATATTTAATTGTGTGTCCCATATATTCATTTCAACATGAAATATTAGGAAGTAAAAATATTATCCATATCCAAAAAAATATAATCGGATCCTTAGCAAAATACTTTTACAAGTGACCTCAAGAGGATTCTTCTAAAATCAAAATAAAAATATTCTAGACACAATATTTTTAAAATTAGAGATTTCGTCTTTTATCTATAATACGAATCTTATTTATCACGTGTTGCTCTTGTTTATCGCATCTTTCATATCGCGCGTAAGCATCCCACTTCAAGTAAATATATATATTTTTTTTATTATATAATAGTCTACTTCATTAAAAGAAGAATACCCTTTCAGTAAGAGCTTTTTTACTTAAAATATGAGATTATAGGAAACGACACCTTTGTAACTAGAGTTCTTCCTTTTTTGGTATTAAAATATTTTCCTTTCGGTTTTAGAAGAGTTCTCTTGCAACTAATATACAAAAAGATTCCGCTACGAGATTGTATTTTCTTGGGTGAATAAATTTTTACTAAAATCGAAGTTAAAATTTGCCGATTCTATAGAACGCAGAATCTCCGTAAAATAGTACAGATGGCTAAACGATAAACGTTCAAAGACAAATTTAATATTCAACACTTACCGGCTCTCACGTTGACATCACGACTGTGTACAGAACCTGCAGGAGAACGTGCCAAGCAGCTGTAGACCTGAGCGTGAACTTCCTGACGGTAATCTTCAGCGCGGAAAGGAGGGAACACCAAATTTCCATTTGGCAGAACCTGCGAACAAGCGTAAGTATGTAAGAAACTAAACTCACGCGATTACGTGCGCACTCGCGCGGCAAAATAATTAACGCGTCCTTCACAATTGTGTGAATGAACGTAGGATGCATGTTTAATGATTCCATTTACATATCGCAGAAAAGATATTTGCAGGCAGTAGGTTGACAGTCAGTAGCTATTTGAAAGAATCGCTCGCTATCTCGCCCGTGGGAGGAGAAATTTATCTTCAACCGATGTACGAAGAAACTTGTTCTTTTCTCTCAAGGTATCTATTACGAAAACTAATAGAAAATTCATGGAAATATCTAAAATTTAACCAAAGTCATCTATTTTACCTATCTCAGCATGAGTGAAGTATCGTGAGTGAATTTCAGTTTCGATTGTGCTATTTATACACAGGAGGTCTAATAATTCGCTATAGAGTCGTGGTAAATAGATAAATTAGATCGAACTAGACACAAAAATGTTTACCATTTCACAAACAATCGCATAAAATTTGGCTATTAATTAAGAAAAGCTGACGAGTGATCTCTCGTTGTCATGTGCTTGTAGATTGAACTAAATTAAAAATGTCCTCTACCATTTTATAAATAACACAGAATTTTTATTACAGTTATTAATTAAAGCCAATCTTTTTTAATTATTAACTAAAAATCGACGTGTTATTTGCAAAATGGTAGAGGACTTTTTCTTCAGTTTGATTAAATTTATAAGTACACAACGGCAAGCGCCATTATAATTTACGTATCGCATAGCGTGATGATTCAACGATCTTTTTTAATTAATAACTTAAAACTTCACGTGGTTATTCGTAAAATGACAGAGAATTTTTTAGTCAGTTTGTTCTAATCTATCTATACACTGCGGCTCTATAGCGAATTGTCCGACACCTTGTATAGATGAGATTCTAAGCAAAGAAAGAAACAATCAAAGGATGTTGTAACACCTGTCTCAATCCGGGAACGTCTCCTACAGCAGTTCCATCAGCACGAACCCAGATGATATCCGGTTGAGGGTTTCCTCTCGCCTGGCATTCAACGACAGCTCCGGTTCCGTTTGAGAAATCAACTCGGTTTGGTGGTTCCTTGACAAACACCGGTCCCATTGATTCATCTTCAGCCAAAGCAACTGCAAGTAAAACGCAAAGATTTTCACTGATTAGAACGACGAGCGTTTGTACGAAATGTTCGATACACATTGCACTTATTTTGAGAATAAAATCTATGATACTAAAATGTGTTATTTATGAAAATTCTACAGTGTATTTATTTTAGCGCGAGGTTGACGCGCTTATATCATTTTCAAAACGAACAACTTTTTTTGAATATTTCTTGTTTCAAGATAATAAATGCCACAATTCCGAGTAATTTTTATAGATATAATTTATTTTAATGCGGAAACACCAACGGCGGTGTTTCAACTACTCAAAAGGAACTTTCTGAGGACAGAACAAAGAAATGTTTCGAGGACAGAACGAAATGTAAGGGGTCTTGATAGCTTGTGGGAACATTAGCACGAAGCCAATTAATTTAAAGCGTCACGAGCGATGAGACTTTTATCTCGTGCCTTCGAGTTTCTCTTATCATTCGTTTCTACCAGGATATGCGACACCCACATTCAATTGGCGCATTGCCAATTGCAGCAAACAACAGGTTGTCGGTCTGTTATTGAATAATATGCGATCAACGTCACATGACCATAAGGGAGACGACAATGCGTGATTCCTTTTCCGTCGTGTCCGAGTTGTGTATGTATTCCTCGCTTCACTGCCGGTTGACAGTCAGCGACATCACCGACATAAAAAAAATATTTCCATCGATATTCCGTTTCATCATATTCTATGCGCCATCGTAAATTTATATGCATAAATCAAACACGTTTCTACATATATTCTACACAATATTGTCTTCCAAATAATCAACTATAATTTTCACGATATGATATAATTGCACGATTTCATATTTGACTATGTATTATAATAATATAATGACATTATGTTTGCATAATTATAAGATGAAAGTGCTAATGTCCAAACACGTATCCAATCTTGAATATTCTTATTGTTTTGTTTTTAAATACGAATATATTTAAATTTTTAAAAAATATATATGCATATATTGAATATATTGAATATGTATATATTCTATATTGAAAGCTTAAATATATAAAATAAATAAAATATATATATATATAATATATATATATATATATATATATATATATATATATATATATTATATAGAATAATTAAAATATAAAATAAATACTTAAAAAATATATATATGTATATATATAATATCTATATTTAAAGATCAAAACGATAAGAATGTTCAGGATTATGTGAGGTGTTTTCACCTCAATTAATAACTTATGGTTCATCAGTTGAGCGGACATTTCTATAATCCTCTCGCTGCTTTATCTGTCAAAATAATTGAATACCGTTTATACCGTGGTAGCATGACGCGAATGTTTAGAAGTGCAAGTTGCTCTTCGGCGCGGAGGACGTTCGGAGTTTATACAGGAGTCTACCGTGCTACTTTCTTCGCACGTAGCCACCTACTGATTCACCTACCTACGACGATGGCTGCGGTGAAGTGAGAGCAAATAAACGCGGTGCAGTATAAAATCAAGTCACGAAGAACCGGTTGGGCAAAGCGTGCGCCGTTGAAGCGAACGGTGGGATATGCACGCAGGTATAAAGAACAGGTGTTACAAATTTTTGCGGATCCGCAGTGTCTGTTATTTGAACTTTAGCTGGCGAATCTGCAGCTTTACGTCTCTTATCGTTGTCATACTTCTTATACGTTTCCTCGAGATCCATTTCATTCAAACTGATTCTGCCAATCGCGACAAAAATTCCTCTCGAATAAAGTTATTTACATTAAACTACATATCAGAGGCACTTGTGACAGCCACATTAAAAGAAAGCTAAGGCCTATAAGACCAGTGCTCTGGATGTTAGTGCGGATAATTTTGAATGAAAGGATAATAATAGGTTTGTCCGTTTTTCGAAGACCAAACTACTTCTTCCAAGACTTCTAAACTAGTGCACGCTAATGCAATAAGTTAAAGTGAGAAAAGTATACTTCACTCTAATTTATTGCACCAATTCAGAAGTTCTTCGAAGACCTAATGTTTGACAATGTCAACATACACATCAAATACTTCGCCAACTTGTAACGTATGCGCGGTGAATCTGTCTTCCAATTAATTATGTCAATTTGAAACGCATGGACAGGAAGTGAAGAATTTTCTAAATACAAGCGTGTTTGTGAAGTATTCTTTAGAGTTTTATCAATTGGATTATCTCTGTTCAACATTTCACAAGCCTGTTCTCCATATTTATGGGTACATTGTGTACTTTTGAAATATTATACGCTGAAATAATTTGTGTTTCTCGGTGTCAAATAGCGACGACTTTCAGACACTGCAACGCCGTCAAACATTGCGGCGAAAGAGCCAGAAGAATTAAACTAACATATGGGCATTACGATGATTAACTGGGCGATTAAGTGGCACTGTACAAGCTGTTTCAGCGATAATCACACATTCACGTCCAAAGATCGTGTCATTTATGCGCTCTCTGACACGCGCGCAGTGAAATAATGGCACGGGGTATTGTCGAGGCTACATGACAGATGTGGTACGTTGTAAGGGACTGTAGATATCGGTTGTATAGGAGTACCTCGTAAAATTTTTCTCCCAGATTAAACTCTCACGCCTTCCCGATGAAAGGCGAGATTCTTCTCGGTCGACAACCGCTCTGTAATCTATATATAGAGAGGAAGCTTTGAAACGTCCGGACACGCTGCATCGAATATATTTCCAGACCGCACACATGCGCATACGTGTCGCCGCACGTGTTACTCACGCGTGTGTTCATGCTCGCTCGGCTGTGTATGTGTCGGAACGCAAAACGCCGTGACGTGCATTATAATGGGAAATATATCTCGAAACCATAAAGTTGGCGACACTGCCGAAGAACAATGGTACGAATCGATTAATCAGTCTTCCGATGGAGCTTTGATATCAAAATTCTCTCTCTCTCTCTCTCTCTCACTTTACTTGTTTAAAATTAAATCCTCTCCTCCTTGTCGAACTCTAACATGCATATGTATATTTTTTCACTTTACAATTAACTGTCATGTGTTACCTTGTTATGATGAACTGTCATGTGACGCATCGTGCAACAATATTATAATATATAGGGTGTCTCACACTCTCCTCCGGGCATTTTGTAGGGACGTAGAATGGGATGATGTGAACATAAAAGTCCTATACCGTTTTGCGATATTCGCAATAATTATCGAGGTATTAATTGTAAAAAATTTGTAAATGATTATGCAGAATATGGTAAATGAGTTATAATAGCGACGACTGCCGTCGTGTATTTATACTTTAAGTCGAATTGAACAAAAAGTCCTCTACCATTTTCCAAATAATCACATAGATTTTTAATTATTGATTAAAGAAGATTATTGCACGATTTTGCGTGATAATGTACTTATCTTCTTTAATTAATAATTAAAAATCTATGTGATTATTTGCAAAATGGCAGAGGACTTTTTTGTTCAATTTGACCTAAAGTATAAGTACACGACGGCAGTCGTCGCTGTTATAACTCATTTACTATATCCTGCATGATCATTCACAAATTTTCTACAATTAATATCTCGATAATTATTGCAAATATCGCAAAACGGTATAGGACTTTTATGTTCATATCAACTCATTCTATGTCTCCACAAAATGCCCGGAGGAGAGTGTGAGACATTCTGTATATAGAGAAAATAGAAATATGGTAGTAAAAATATAGTAGTAAAAATTACGTTAAAATTATATTTTTACAATTTTTCGTAAAACTGGACTATACTAAAATTGTAGTAAGTTAACACATAAATAGCAAATTTAACGCGATCTACTTGATAAATTATACAAATTTAAATAATTATAATAATTTTGTAGTAAAAATCAAACATTCATAACATTTTTAAACAAATACGTAGTAATTTCGCTCATAATTCTGTATGGTCTAAGAATTACAAAAATGTTGCTGTAATTTTTATAACAAAATTTAATTATAATAATCTACAAAAGAGAGAAAAGATTATCCAATTAAAATCAAATTTCACCAAGCAATAATAGTCCAAATTGTAATTCTTATTCGCATATATTTAATAAATAATCGGTATACATCGAGATACTCGATATATTTTGAGCTTTATTAAGTATGCAAATAAAAACTACAATTTAATTTTTATTGTCCATTAATTGATAAAATTTAATTTTTATTGTCCATTGATTGATACAATCGTGACTTTACTACAATATTTTCTCCGTGTACAATTATTTCTTTATTATGAATGAAATGGCGAAATATCTATATGAGATAACTTGATTAGTTTTTAAAACTTTGTAGGATTAATTAACAGCTGGGATATTCCTAAAAGTATTATAGAATTATACGAAATCATATTATTTCGTTAACGACGCGCACACGTATCAATGACCGCGAGGGTGGATACGCAATCCTCGCGTAGGTAGAAGAGGTCTAGAAAAATTCTCAAGTCTCAGACTTTCGGAGCTTATATGGCCTCTTCGACTTCGACTGCGTCTATTTCTGAGATCTCCTACAGTGGGTACCGAAATACCTCATGTTTCGATGTCATTTCTTCCAATTTCAGGCGCAAATAATGCACTTAGTTTTGTCCCAATTGTGATCTTCTATAGTCCTTTCCCAATTTTTATTCGCAATTTGAAAATCAGAGCAATGCTCTATTGACAATTCTTTCTCTTTCTTCCTTCCTTTCTCTCTCTCTCTCTCTCTCTCTCTCTCTCTCTCTCTCTCTCTCTCTCTATATATATATATATATATATATATATATATATATATATATCTTCTCGATGAACATTCGAATCTCGTAACGTTCTAAACTTTTCCCAGGTGGAGCGTGCTGGCTCTGTACCTATAGCAAGCGGATTCACCTGGTAGCAGGCTCTGCGGCCAAGTGCAATTCTCTCCAAAGCATGTGTGCCTGCATTCTGGGAACAGCAGCTGTTCCCTTTCCTCGATCTCCCCGTCCCCTTTCTCTTAGTCGTTCCTGCGGCAGCTGCGCTTCGTGATCCATCCTATACTCGGGATCTTTCATGGTGCTAACTGACTGCCCGTTCGGCTCAAAATGTGCGGGTACGAGGTCATGCTGACAAAAGCGGCAACGCGGTCGGTTACCACGTTGAACCGTTATGGTCGATCACAAAAAATACAACGAAAAAAATAATGTAAATTTCCAAAATTTACGTGTCACTATGATTATATAACGCTATTATTATTGTGTTGTAGTTATGTTTGAGTGACGTAATAGTTACGCCAAAGTCAATAAACGACATTAGAGGAGGTTGTGAGACAAAATAAGTTTGTTAAGAAAATTCATTAAAATATTTATGCTACATAAAAATTGAAATATTATCTAACTGCAATAAAAAAAAAATGAAGTATTCGAGAGTTGAGGTATTTGAAACTAAAGTTAAAATTTTTGTACGTATGTTTTATAAAATTAGCATACTATTTCTAATTTCTATTTTTAATTCCTTATAAACTCTCTAAAATTAGGGTTTTAATAAAATACTTCTATAATATTAAAGATTAATATACTGCATACATATTATTTAAATCAAGTAAACAATATTTGATTTAAATAAAAAGAATTTAGATTTAAGTAAATATGTTAGTGGCACCCATCAAAGAAATATTTGTTGATTTTAAGATAATTTTTCTCTCAGTGTAATAATACTCGAGATACACATATATACGAGGTTTGATAAAAAAATACGCGGAATTTTCGTTTCTCTCAAAAAATTTTTATTTATTTATCGATATTAATTTTGTCCCCTTCAAAGTACTCCCCATCAGATATAATACATTTGTGCCAGCGCTTTTTCCAATCTTCGAAGCACTTCTGGAACGCAATTTTCGGTATGGCGTTTAGCTCCTTCAGCGATTCTGTCTTTATCTCTTCAATTTTGGCAAAACGTCGTCCTTTCATGGTTCTTTTTAGCTTCGGAAATAGGAAGAAGTCACAGGGGGCCATGTCCGGCGAATACGGAGGCTGAGGCATCATTACGGTGTTGTTTTTGGCCAAAAATTCACGAACAAGCAGTAAAGTGTGAGCAAGTGCATTATCGTGGTGCAATTGCCATGAATTGTTTCGCCAAAAATCCGGCCATTTTCTTCGGATTGCTTCACGCAAACGGCGTAGAACTTCCAGGTAGTACTCCTTATTGACCGTACAATCTGATGGCAAGAACTCATGGTACACTATGCCGTTAAAATTGAAGAACACAATGAGCAGAACCTTCACATTCGATCGAACTTGACGAGCTTTTTTCGATCTTGGCTCTTCAGAAAACTTCCATTGGGACGATTGGGCCTTAGTTTCGACGTTATACCCATACACCCATATTTCATCACCAGTTATGACCCGTTTAAGTAGTTCTGGATCGTCGTTGACTTCATTCAGCAACTCCTGAGCAATGTTCATTCAGCACTGCTTTTGGTCAAAATTCAACAATTTCGGAATAAATTTTGCTGCCACACGTTTCATGCCCAAAACATCTAAAACAATTGCTTGGTATGAGCCAAATGATATGCCAACATCATCAGCAACCTCTCTAATAGTGATTCGACGATTGTCTATAATCATTTTTTTCACTTTTTCGACGCTGTCATCGGTTGTTGATATGCTGGGACGTCCAGGGCGCTTGTTATTTTCAACGTCTTCACAGCCCTCTTGGAAACGTTTATACCACTTGTAAACGCTTGTTTTATTCATAGAATATTCGCCAAAAGCAACATTCAACATTTCCAATGTTGTTACACTTTATTACTTACAATGATGTTACACTTTATTCCATTTTTAAAGCAAAATTTAATGCAAATTCTTTGTTCCATTTTTTCCACAAGTACTTTGTGACTGAGATAATATTACTTAGATAATAAAATAAATATATAGAAACGTAATTATGGTGTGCAATAAAAATAGTGAATTTATGAGTGATTTCCTTCATGTGTCTCTAAAAATACGACACTATCTTTACAGCCTCTTCACTAACAATTTAGTAAGCTAATTTATGTAATTTTTCAGGAAATTTAGTTAACTTTTCCTTTATACCAAATAAAAGAAAGTTATCGTATAAAATTTGAAAAATAATATTTCATTTCTTATTTCACATTTTAATAACTGTGTGTGTGCGTTTGTGTGAGTGTATGTGCGCGCGTTTCAAAAGTTAAATCTTACCTTAATTTTTATTGACCCTTTTTCATTTCTTGTTGATTAATTTTTTATTCTTCTACTGTTAGAAGCCAAATATTTGTGCGTCTAACAACAGAAATTTACTACTTGTAATTTATAGAATTGCTGTTACGTGTCTCTATAGAAATGATATACTGCTTATAGGACTAATTCAACATGGTTAATGATAATCGGAAAAATTCTGAGAATATCTAATATGGACATCTTATGTATATTCAAAGCACATATGCCGCAAAGAGCAAGATGCTGCGTCAGATGATAAACTTCGCAGTCACGTTAGAACGCGACGTGTCGTTTCTTCAAGTTTTTCAAAGTACAAAAATATTAATATCGCTTCATTAACATTTCATATTAGGTCGTGTAATACATAATTTCGGATTCTTCATATAAAATAAAACGATTATATTTTTATAGTGTTGCAATCTTATAAAACAAAGCATGCCGTTTTGATCTGCCATCCTTCGCACGTATCGCTTCATAAAATTATAAACGATGCAAACGAACGATACAAAAGTGTAATTATTATATTTTACATGAAAAATTCGAAATTACTTATCGCACAATCCAAAATCAGTAACATCCTGTTCCAAAGATATATGGATGTATTTGTTGTAAATTTGACACGTAAAAGTCGTGGCATGTATCTTTTGTATATTTCTTTTAGTCTTTGCATGACCGACATCCATCAATGATTCTCAGTAATTACCATCGTCGTCACGCGGAGAAACACGACGTGAATGGAATCGTTTCGTTTGAAATTGACTCACCGTTTGTCAATGCCAAGAAAGTAGCCAAGAGGAACATCATGACGATGTGGGTGGGTATCTTGCACCCACCTCCTGGTGGTTCTCGCCACATCCTTATCCCGACTTCTCTAAGGACACTGATTTTCACCTGATGTCACATAAAGCACATCGTTGAACGACAAGTCGGCGAATGCAATGCGATCGCTGATGATCCGTCTCAATGATAATTCAATGACCATCATAGAAAAGGTCTAAGAGACTGACGAAATTTAATTATCGAGTTGAACGCACGCGTTAATCCGATAAATGATGAGCGTGAAAGGACTTTGCTTAAGTTCAAGGTCGGTCGGTTACTAGCCGTTGGACGCGCGTAACAATCGCTTCAAATGTGTGTGGTAGTTTAGCATGCATTAAAGAACTCACGTAGGCTAATTTCTACCGCTTTCAAGGCGCGTGCTCATAAAATTTCTTGACTGAATTGCAGAACTGACACTCTTTAAAAATAACTAATCATTATTCGATGAACCTCGTCGTCGTCGGCAAAAAAACAAATATGTTTTGTACATTAAGAAATTTTATTCGAAATTAATTGTCAAAGAATGTGTTATTAAAATTAAATTCGAGAATTCCGGGATATTCAATATATATTAATTAAAATGTAAGTAATTCATTGAGCATGGTTTTAATAAACAGTTTGATGAGAAAAATTTCAAGTTAATCATAACTTAATTATCATTTTTAATGATTTAATAACTTAATTATTAAATGAATTTTGCGTAGGAAGTTTATAATGGAGAATAATTCTTATCAATTTACTTGGAGGGAATATATTAATAGTAAAATTACATGTTTATGAATAACGACTCTAGTTGAACGCGGCCTTATTTATTATAAATAACGCAGCAATATCTATCTTTGGAAAAAGGGAAAGGGTTTGTTAACGCATATAATAGGCAAGACTAGGTAAAGAATAACAATGGCTTGCATCATTGACCCATTATTAACCCTAATTATTAGTTCCAGCTGTAGTTCTTCCGGAACTCGCTGAAATTAAAGTTTAAACGATCAGTTCTTCCGACTACTCATTAACACAGCGGCGCGACTCCGCGATTGTAAGTTTAACATGCAAACTTCGGTCGCGACATTTGCTCGGTGATAAATCTTGAAAATACCGGGCCCAACTCGAGGAATAATGAAGTATGCTCTACAACCGTCCGGCAATCGCGCAACGACACCCCGGAAGAACAGGCGGTTAAGATCGCAGGAAAAATTCTGTAAAGTCGGGAGTCTCTCTCTCTCTCTCTCTCTCTGTCTCTTTCAGGCCCGCTGGTCCGTGATAATCCGCAAAGCGCGAAAGCGCTATCTCACTGCGGAACGGGGTGGAAGTGCACGTGCTGAATCGTTGATAGCAAGGGTTACGGTTGGCGAGCGTCGGAACAAACCGGCTGGAGGGCGCAGGAGGGGCATGGCGAACGCGCGAGAGGGGATGAAGAGACGTAGCGGGAGAGGGGAGACAAAATGTGGCGGAGTTGAACGGCTCGTCACGGGGCTGCTCCCTCTCGGCGAGTTTATTGATCGCAGGGTGCGGAGCGGTTCAATCTACCCCTCGCGACGATGCGCGCCATGCTATCCGGAGCTCGGACCTAGCCAGGCGGCCACGATGGTGTCCGTGGACCCCCGCTAAATCCACACGACCCTCGCAGAGGGCCCGCTAGGCAACACCTGAAAATATACCGTGCTACCCCCGACATGTCGGCCGTGGTCCCTCACGGAAGTCGATTGATCGCGTTGCAAAATCGGAACGTGACGCCAGCATCTACGTCATCATGTCGTGTTACATCGTGTAATTCGAATTCGCGTAACCAACGAAGGAGAGCATCATCGAAGTGGATAACTGACGATGTAGAAATGTTAAGGAGAAAGCGGCTTGCTCGTTTAGAAAAATTGTAACGACGCGACCTCGGAAAGATATGAGTCGTACGAGGGTGAACGGTTGATTTTGCTCGCGCGACGAAGATCAGCCGTTCACCCCTCTCTCGGCCGACGTAAGAAGAAAGAGATGACCACTGAGAAAATCCCGCCGTACTGTGACGCAGAAAAACGCGAAATCTTACGACCATATGGGCGAGCGGACAAAAAGGAGTCCTCGTAGACTCTCATGCCAGGCTGGGTCTGGAGTTTGAAAGCATGATCAGCGCGAAGACGTGCAATTGTCTCTCAGATTAATTCATTGCAATTCGCTCCTTTTGTCAAATGATCAACGTAAAAATTATTTCATGACGATCATCCCAATGGATCCATCGAGGTCCAGCGACCATCAGCGATCGCGTCTCGCCGAATTCTTCTGACTCTCGCAATTGGAGAGGCCGATTTGACATTTGAAAAATCGCCCGCAAATCGGAACGCACGCACACACACCACGATCACTGCCGTTCACCGTGCACGCACACAGGCGCACACACACACACACACACACCCACGAGCGATTTTGCAAAATCGGCCGATGCTCGTCTTCGCAATTCGCGGACGATCGGCTTCCTCGTGATCGGCGCGCTCACGCAGGTGCGTCGTTGCTATGACGCGCCGATCTTTACGTACCAACGACACGGTCGTGAATTCGCAGGAGCACAGATGCACGCCGACCACACCGATCGGAGCAGGTAAACGAACACTCCGGGTCCGTGAACGACTGACCGTAGAGTGCGGCGTCGTTTGCTTCGGAGCAGCGGCTGCTCCTCGGCAATCTCGAGGTCGGAGGCGGCGGAGGTGGCGGTGGGGGTTGTCGGCATGAACAGTGTGAACACTCACGCTGTTCCGCAGGGTGGGGGCTGCTTCTCCAGCAGGGCCGGCTGGAAAGTTTAACCCTTGTGCTCCAGCAGAGATGAAATTGAAATAGGGATGGAAATTTCGAACGACAATTTGTAATTTCTTCTTTTTATAAGAGCGTTCGGCGTTTTCAATACGCTATTCTTGTTTATACTGTTAGTAAGTGCACACACACATACACGCGAGTCAAAATACGAATACGACGGATTAAATATATAATTTTATGAGTAAAAAATTTGAAAGGATAGATAAATAGTGGGCGAAACAGTTAATAATACGTATATATATTCCTGTTTCCTTTTTCCAATTTTTTTTTCAAAAACGTAAGATCGAACACATCAATAAAACAATCTAATATTAATCTAATAGTCTAATCATCATTACAATCTAACAGTCACAATCTAACAATCTTTAAAAATATAATTAAATAATACAACAGAAGGGACAATGGAGGAAATAATTGATAACTTATGTTTACTCTCTCTTTTAAAGTGAATCAGTGAATAGTCACTGATATCAGTTATAAATATAGCACTGAGCACTTTCAGTGCTATACTTATAAATACAAATCAGTATATATTCACTGTTTTCAGTGATGTTTGATTGATTTACTTTAAAAAAGCTCTTATTTTCTTTTTTTGGTATTCTTCTTCAATCTTCAATTAAAAATAAGGATTAATCAAGGATTAGAATTAATCATAAATTAGCAATTGATGACATTTGCGATCTCCTTTAATTAAATCGCGACGAATGATCATGTTTATCACATCTTTCGATCGGGGCTCTAAAAACTAATGAACCGACACTGCCGGTTAGTCGACCTTTGTCGCACGCAGCGGAAACGGCCAATGGACCAAATATATATGAAATATGTATATCCGTGTGAATGTATGTATGCGAGCGTACACGCATCTTTGCGGATATTTGCGAAATGCTCTGACTCGTTGCGGCGATAAACGATTACGGGCGATTATATAAAGCCGATAATATACGATCAGCGGAGAAGACAATAAATGTTATTTGACGTGCATTATTCACTACACTACTTTATAACTGCGCGTAATACTATTATAAAATAATACAAAGTAAGTAAGAATTAAATAAAGTTAAAAGTTTTTTTATATTGTATATTTTAATTTATTGCAGTTTATTTACATGGTAAAAATCAGCTTTGATAATTAAAAAGAACAGTATTAATTTTCAAGTATAAATTTTGTAAATTATTAATTAACTGATATTTACTTATATATGTATTTTTTATAGTAACAATTTAGACAAATTTAACTTATATTTTTCGCCTTTACTGGCTAAAGAAGGATGAAACATTAACGTGTAAGTTTCATAATATTTAAATTTATTGTTACCTGTAAAATAATTTCTATATTTACTTATATTTTATTTCTAAATCATCATATTAAAATGATTTAAGTAATTTAATTTAATAAATAATACGCTTCAGTAACGCACATATATCTTTTATATAAAGTTGTTTAAACATTTTAATGTAAACAGTCACTTGGCAATTAAATTGAATATCTCAATTAAGTGATCGAAATTCCTTAAAGAAAATTACATAATATATGATATTGATCGCAAAGTATAATTTTAATGCATTTGAAAATCGCGGGACTAAGTACCAATGATGTCGCTGCAAACAGCAAAAGTTATTTTAATGCTTTTGATATACGCATCTATATATTTGACACTTCTATGACAGAATAAATCAGTCTTACCAATCGTCGAGTCAAATATCTCGTTCCTTGCCGGTGTTACGTTACAGGTCTCTCGTAAACAGATTTAAAAATGGTAAATAAAGATCAAGTGAAGAAAGACGTACAGGAACTATTCAAGAATGACAAATATTCGATTCTGCTCCCGACTTACAATGAAGTGGAGAATTTACCAATAATAATATGGCTTATCGTGAAATATATGGAGGAGAGGTGATTAAATGGCTACTATAACCTTAAATTAGGAAGCGTATGCATTGCTAGTGATTAAAAAAAAGAGAAAAAAAAATTAATTTAAGCCGCGTGTCTGAAAAGGAATATTGTTAAACAAACATTTTAAATAAACATTACAACAACAAACAATATTTCAGCAAACTTTCCTATGAAATCATTGTGATAGACGATGGTTCTCCAGATGGAACTCTGGACATGGCTAAACAACTGCAACGTGTGTACGGCGAAGATAAAATAGTCTTAAAGCCTAGAGAAAAGAAGCTCGGATTAGGAACTGCTTACATGTATGGAATTAAACATGCAACTGGCAATTTTATCGTTATCATGGATGCTGACTTGTCTCATCATGTATATACAATATTGACAAATAATTTGCATAAAGTAATATATAAAATACTAACAGCTATTCTTATAAAAACAGCTTTTATTTTGCAGCCCAAATTTATCCCAAAAATGGCTGAGTTACAACGTTACCTCAATCTTGACATAGTCAGCGGTACAAGGTATGCTCAAGGCGGTGGTGTTTATGGTTGGGATTTTAAGAGAAAGTTAATAAGCAGGGGTGCAAATTTCTTGACACAACTCTTGCTGAGACCTGGTGCAAGTGATCTGACTGGCAGCTTCAGGTGATAAATACTTTTCAGATTCATTTTTATTCTTGCTCAGTAAACATCAATTAACATATATTATTTTATATATATTATTATGGCATATATATTAACATATAATATTATCAATAGTCAATATCATAATTTTCCATTGAACAATATAACTGTTATACAATATTCATTTTATATTGCATTTATATTGTTGGGTAGAAAATTATAACATTGATGTTATGTTACTGATAGTTACCTAGTAAATAGAAAAACACTGATAGAATGTTGCAACAATATCCAAATATAACGTTTTCTAATATGTAAATCTTAACGTTGTATCAACACCATTACAAGTAAATTTGGCACATCTATATTTCAAGAATATTTTTGCAATACTTAAACATTCTAATGTATCTTTTTATTCTAGGCTTTACAAAAAAGATGTATTGCAAAAGTTGATAGCATCTTGTGTATCAAAAGGATATGTATTTCAAATGGAAATAATTGTTCGTGCTAGACAGTGGAATTACACGATAGGAGAAGTACCAATTACATTCGTTGACAGGGTCTATGGTCAGTCTAAGTTGGGTGGGTCGGAAGTGTTTCAGTTTGCGCAGGGTCTTCTGTATCTCTTCAGCACAACGTAACTGAACATTCCATTGTGATAATAACAATTCCATTCTTTTATATGCCCCTGTTAAATCTCCAGCTAAATGTATCGCAAATTTTGTATCAGTTCAGAGAGATTATACATGATTACATGTTAGAAAATAATTTTATATGTGTACATATATATATAATGCTACGTTTACACAAATAAATTACTAAAATGTTATATTTTACATTATTAATGATCACTCTAAGCGGACAAAATTATTTTGCCATGCTCTCGAAATGTCATATTGAGATCTGGCAAACTGTATCAACTCGAGTGTGTAGATATTACAGTCACCGTCGACATTTTATAAGCATATCAAATAGTTGAAATATTCGCACATAGATCGCGTTGTAATAGATATTTCTGTCGGACAAATATTTTCACGCGACACATTTTATAATGCGAATATTCTCGTTCAAGAACAATCAAAGTTATTTTAACGTGACACGTGCGCCTACACGTGGCTGCGAACGATGAAAAGTTGCGCGCATACATAACGATTCCCGTGGTATTGTCCACCCTCGCCGCACCCTCTGACGTCACGCAGCCTCCATTTATTGATCCATTACGAAATTACAGTCTATATTTCGACGCAAGTAGAATACAAGACACGAGTAGACCACATCAACTGGAATATGTAGATATTAACTCAAGAAACAAACTTTACAATGCAACATATCTATTATAAAGATAATTTCTCGGTATTTCATATGTAATACCGCGATTTCCTCAGTTAATCTACATCACACTTGATCAGCAAAAACGAAGAGTCTACTTTCATTAAATATAAAATTAAATATAAGAAGACTTTGCTGTTCTCTATCACAATTGTTTTTTGCAACTATAATTCTAAATAAATAAATACATTGAAATAAATTTAAAGAAATTAATTTTTGTTAATTTTAATTAGACAACCCGTATCTACTTTCATACACAACCAAAAGGGGAGTGACTTATTTTTAATTCTCAATCGCTGCTTGCTAGACTTGAAATAAACAGATAAGAAAAGAAATGCTCAGAAAGTAATCCTATCGTCGTAGAGCCAAGCTCTGATCCTTCGTGAATGAAGGGAATGAATCCCTGTTGAATCCTTCCCAATTCACCCGTTTCCTTCGACAAACAACTACACGGAACCGTTCGACGACAATGGCATCGCATTACGCAGATACGTCCCTTTTGACATTTGCGTCGCATTTCAAGCAAGGCGTGCGAAGGCGTAGCATATTCGCGAATTTACGCATGCCTTTTCGCAGGAAAATCCCTCAACGCTCAGCGACAGTGACGGCGGAGACGGTGGTTCCAGTGCGAAGGCAGTTCTGTCGCAAGCTTCGCCGCGGCCGGACGTGCAAGTGGGGTAGCATGCGCGCCGGGGTGAAACTTGCAAGCTCCCCCTTTATCGAGCTTGCAGATGGCTGTGCCTTTTAGATTTTGACGTGTCCCTTCGTTCCTCCCCGTTCGTTCGTTCGTACGCTTCGTAGTGTAACATTTCGACCGCTTAACTCGCCGCTCGCTTCACTGCTCGCTACTCCCCGACCACCAGCAACCCTCGACATGCCCAGGAAAGTTAGATTCAACGTCGTCTACGCCACGAGTAAGACCGCTGAGCTCGCAGCCGTAATGTAAAACGCGGACTAACCTCGGTCGCCGATCAGAAAAGTGCTGGGAATTACACGAGCCGACGTCGCATTTTTCATAAAATCAAGTGATTTTATGTGTACACCATCGATAAACGCTTTTATCGACCTGATATAACGTAATAGTTGCTCGATGCCGGATATTGCAATGAGAAAAATGGTGTGAATAATTTATGGCTGCTCCTGTGAGGATTAGTTCAAGTGAAGCGCAATTAATATTTTTGGAGAACGCGGCATCGAGTAAAATTTCACACGAATTTCTTCCGAGCTTTCCTTTGTCGGCGCGCTCGGAAGTTCACCTTTGCCATCTCGATACGCTGTTCGTGCGGTTCTCAGCGCTTCAATTATTTCGGCTACGATGACCCGCTAGGATTGCCACCAGGATCGTCGCGTTCAACCGCGCCTTTGCTTGTGTCTCTCTCTCCCTTTCGTCAGGCATTCTGATACATTGATTTTCTATGCTAGACGAGCTAATATTCTTCCAATTTTCGACGGGTCATGTCATTCAGCACGTGTCTCCGGTCTGATCTGGTCGGCGTGTGAGCAATGATTTGCGCTATATTACGAAATTGTATCGTATAACAAGTATACCGACAATTGTTATATATTTGTAAATGCCGGCTGGGGTAGGAAGGGAGGGGGTACGGTTCATGACATTCCGCGATGCACACATATTCTTCTAATGACGCGGCGGCCATAAATCTCGCACAAAATTGCGGTATCGCGTGACGGCGGCCGGCATTGCGCTACTTCTCTCGGAAGATGTATTTTGAAAGTCTAAAGAGAACGAACGATACCATCGGCATCCGATTTTCCTCTGTGGAAACAGTGTCGCGAATGTTAAAAAGCCAAACGAGAAAATTGGCGGTTGCGATGGAAGAAAGGCTCGAAAAAAATGTCCAAGTATTATGTAGCACCACGCAACTCCGTGTATTAATAATTAAGTAACGTATAGTATGAACCTCGTCGGAAACGCGCTGGATCGACATTCGGTCTGGCTGAATACTCGCAAGCCTGTATATTTTATGTAAAATCATAACGCGACTATTCATTCTGGTTAACTTACTGTTAAATGCACTGACCTTTTTAACAGCAAGCAGAATAATAAAATTACAACAGACGGGAATTTTCTAATAGTCTAATTCCAGTTAATTCAAGATCATTTTTATCGTCGTTTGATACATCCTATAACGTAGAAGAGACGTGCATTTTATGATATATATCATAAAAAAATTCATATAACGGAAAACATCTTTTTGAGGTTGAAGTAGTATGAAGTAAGAGTAACTATTGTTTTCCTTCTTATTTCTTTCAATGATAGAAGGATTAAAGACCAATTAATAGGACTCTGAATATATTTTATGTATAACTATATCGCGATTGTCTCAGTTAACTTCCAATTAAATGTGTTAAAACCTTTGTAATAACAAGGGAAATAATGAGATTACAGCAGAGAAAATTTTCCAGTCTAATTTAATCCGATATCAAGACAATGATTTTTATTGTTGTTTAATACATCCAACGTATGAGACGTCCACATATTTTATTAAAAAAAAAAAATTCATTGTCTATTTGAGTTTGAGATAGTGTGAAAAAGGAGTAATTGCTGTTCCCTTCGATGGTAGAAGGATTAAGACCGATTAACTCCGAAATCTATTTTCTCAAGGCGAGGAGGACAGACATTCGTCGTTAGAGCTTAATGTTCACGGGCCAACAGTGAGGGGTTGGCAAAGCGCAAGAAACTGTACGTATCCTCAGGAACTCATCTTACGTCTTCATGGACCCACGAAACTTACGAGGATACAAGTCCTGGCTCATCAGTATCTCATACGTAAGTCCGTGTTTTTACAATTTAAGTCCGTGTTTTTTACTGTTATTCACGCTACGAATAAATCAATTTTTGAATAAGATAATCGATAAACGATAGATCGTAAACGTTAAACTGTCGATCATTTGCAAAGTACGTTGGAAAAATAGAGATAAAACGCCGTGTGAAAACTGCGAAAGAAATATTACAAATTTCATATTTACAAGAGTACTTTTTTAATATCTTTAATTGCTTATAGACTATTAAAGAACTTTGATTCATAGCACACAAAATTATTGAGATGAAAGCGTTAAACGCGAATGACAGTTCTCTTCCGACGCGATTAAAGCCACCATTGACCGTTAAAACGACGTTCCCGCTGAAAGGCAATTTACCGACAATGGAAATCGAATTAACGCGCCTACCCTGATTTCCCGAGGCTACATCGTCTCCCGTCTCTTTCTCTTCTGTTCGCTTCTTCCAACTGCATCATCGGAAATGAAGCCGTAACGGGCAACGCGAGAATTATGCCAGTTTTCTGGCACGAGATTGTAGGCCCGGATATGAATCCGCCGATGAAAATTAACATCGTCACTTTCACGAGAAGCGTGAAGCGTGATGTTCACTCTCATTGCAGCCGAGAAACTGGAGATCTGGACGTCGAGGGAGGAAAATGCATCCGCTTCGACGGACTTCAGTTACCTGGGCTACATCACGCTGTCTGATAATGCCTCTACCCTTTACAAGAGCAGGGAACTGAAAAGCGTGGCTCTTCCGGAGACAGAAGCGGTGTCGCTGAAGCTTAGACTACATAAACCGCACAGTAACGCGCACAACACTTGCTGTCAGGTAAACGAGTCCCTCTGATAATTGATTAAAAACATTTATTAAATATCGAAAAAATAAAATCAAGTGTGTAAAACAAAACAAACGGACTTGATAACATGATAGAGATTCTTAACAGAGAATAAGGAAAAACATTCTTATTTAAAAATTCTGCGGCAAGTTTAAAGGTTGTTTTTTTTTTATCGTCAGGTTGGCCTTATCGCTATTAATATACTCGGCGAACCTTATGGTCAAGAATTAACTGGGCAAGGAGACGCCTTGTATAATCCGCACTACACTTCGCCTTACGATGATTTAGCATTCGAGATGTATGTGGATCGAGAAGTAGCTAAAATTATAAGACAAATGGAAGCAAAAAAACTACAGGCGGTGGAAGGTAATTATTACTGTTGCATTTTGTGTATTACATATATTAACATGCATAAAATGTTTAATGTTAAAAGTGGTTACGCACAGAGAAAATTATTTAATTACTAAGAAAAACGATGACTCATTTTACTTTCCTTTTTACAAATAATTGTTATATTAAACAACCAATATTAATAACAGTTTTGAGATATAATCAACACAAATTTCACAAAAACTCATTATCATGCATTCAAAAGAAGAACGAATTTATTATTGTTAGTATTAACTTTTATAAATTTTGTTCACGGCCAAACTTAAACTAAACATATCATAAGTGAAAGAAATACGAACTTTTTACAGAGGAGAGATTCGAATACGCCTCGAAGTTGAAAGTCGCGATGGAGAATCTGAGAAAAGCAGGTGAACGTCTGGGCAAATACGAGTTGGAGAAAAAGTACGCCATAGCTCTGGAAGACTATGACAAAGCCAAAGCTAAAAAGGCCCAAGCCCAACAGTATAGACAACAGGTTTATCAATCGTTGGAAATATATAACTTGCTCGAGGTGCACGGGGTGAGTAGCGTTTCGCGACTTTCTCAGCGGCTATTGTGGTCTGAAATTCGGCGATGATAACTATTGGTTCAATTAACGATGCAGCCCATGGAAAAGAACAATACATCATCTATGGAGGGCAAACAGCCGATATCGGCCGACACATGTACCTCTAACTCAGCGACAGTGGTTCCTGATGACATCACGTCTCCTCCGAGACTAGTTATTCCACCTAACCGCGACGGTGCCTTGTCACCCACTGGTCCTGCACATCAGCCGCCTGTGTCGCCATTACATCAGAAGCCCAATAGTCCTGGTAGCTCGAAGAATATAATTACTTTCTAGGAATACTGGCGCAAATTAATTAGTGTGATCATACTTTGCTTTATTTTAAATAAGAAATGTTGTCTTTGTTGTTGGACTGATAATAATCTGTTCTTAGAAAATTGCGATTTTTTCGATGTAAGGCAAAGATACCAATGTCTGGATACGTCCCAGATAGCACAATGTCCAAAATCGAGTCATAAAACGTCTTTAAAATATCTTTAAGACATCTTTAAGACAAGTTTATAAGGTTGTCTTAAAGATATTTTAAAGACGTCCTAAAGACGTCTTATGACTCGATTTTGGACATTTGTGTCTGGGGCACCTAATTCTAGACATTTTTATTGTTTTGATTTTTAAATACGTATAACTAAATTTCCAACTCAAAAATATATATACATATATGGAACATATGTGTGTATACACAGTATATTGATATTTTAAATATTCGTGTTTAAAGGTCAAAACGATAAGAATGTTCAGGATTAGGTACTTGTCTGGAAATTAGTACTTTTACTTTAGGGCTCTGGATAGTTTATAGACATGAATTAAAGGAATTTATTTTGAATTTTTAATAAAGAAATTATAAGACGCACATTTTCGAATTTTTCAGTATGTTTTTATTTTGAGAAAGTTACATAATTTTTTTCACAACCAAAATTCGTATATTAGTTGAGTCATATGATGTGGTTGTGTTGCACCGCACCTTATAATTCAATTAATATGAGTTTTTTTTTATTATGAAAAAAATTATGTATCTTTTTTAAAATATAATAAAAACAGTGAAAAGTTCGAAAATACATATATGTCTTATAATTTCTTTGTAAAAAATTCAAAAAGAACTCTTTTAAATTATGCTTACAAACTACCTAAAGCTTTTAATTTCGATTTTTGGAATTTCCGAGTGACGTCAGATTCTATATAACATCAAATTTTCGGATTATTTTATTTCTCAGAAGTGACTGATAGCCCTACAAACGGTGTTATTGAGAGACAGAGCAACTGCAATAAAGGATCCCTCAGACGAAAAACCAAGTCAGCGGGTCCTGCCCTTCGCTCGAGTTACGAAGCCTACGAGGAGAGAACCATTCCCGCTCTGAGACAGTAAGATTCTCACAGATACGCATATACAGTTCGCAACTATACCGGAATAATTTATATAAAAATTCATTGATGTTTATTTTTAGCTCACACACGAACGAGTTTACCAGAGAATGTCACTTGGACAGCGCAGAAACGAAAGTTACTTCGAAATTGAACGACCGGGAGAAGAAACAAGCTGCGTTGCCTATCGCGGTCTTCGGGATGGACATGGTAACAAAATTGTCTACTTGCTACTTGCGAATCTTCAAGTACAGACGAATGACAATGACGATTACGCGTAGGTAGAGAAGTTTTATTCGAAACAATTTACGGACAAAGAAGAAGGGCTGATGCAACTGAAGGAAGAGCTGAAAGCGTTCGACCCAGAGGTATCAAAACATTCGCCCAACAAAACGGCCAGAGCGGCGATTCTCCTGTTGCACAGGGCTCTCAGGGACAAAGTCTTCAGCGTGTACAGTTTGGCGGCACAGCTCATTAGGATCTTCTTCGCTGAATTCGCAGCGGACAGGTAAACCTTTTCTAAACAATGTGTAAAGATTAAGTTATATAGTTGTGCGTGATTAAGTATATAGAAAATACGTAATTTGTGAAAATTTGTTATATACTTAGTCGGCTATATTTAATGTAATACATTTAAGTATAAATTAATTATTGTTATATAATTAATTATAGTATAATTAATTATTGTTATTATATAACAACATATTGAGAGGATGTTCTGATTTAGGTAGCCAAAAAAATAGGAGATATTTATGAATTAAAAAAAAAAAGAATGTGTATCATAGGATTTTGATTATATAATTTTTTGTTGTTTTAAGTATAAAAAATGATTTTCTATTAAAAAGATTGAACTTTTATTGTCTAGATTTTTTGTGCCGAATGCGATATCGCCAGATGCCTTTAACTAATGTACAACATTGCAGCTCATGTAATAAACTTAAGCAAATGGGACAAGAAAATTAAAAAAAAAAACTAAATTTGCTGGAGGATGAATGCAGAAAGTTTGTTGTATGCAGAAAGTAGAGAAAATTGCAGTATTTTGAACTTACAAGTTATTTTTACTCTTTCCTCTTATTTAATGTTCCGGAAAAAATATCAATTTTGAATAATTTCTAAATTTATATATTCTGCAGCATATTTATTTAAATTAAAAAATTTTTTTATTCCATTTTAGAGTATTTACACGTGCTGTAATTTTGTCCATCAATTAAAAGCGTCCGGTGAGAGAGAGAGAGAGAGAGAGAGAGAGAGAGAGAGAGAGTGTGTGTGTGTGCATTCCGCATAAAAAAATCTGAATAGAATTTTAATTTTCTTTTTAAATAATTTTTTTATACTTAAAACAATGATAAACAATACAGTTGAAATCCTATATTAATATTTTTCTTTGAAAAAAATTCGTAGAAACTCTCTATTTTTTGGTTATTTAAATTAAAAGTTTTTAGATATAGATATGGTTTAGACTGCGCTAATTTCCCAAATGATCTTCGAAATTTTTCTTTTGTCTAAAATGTCTTTAATATTTAACTTCCAATTTAATTGAGAACTTATCGATGACTTTTTTCAGAGTATCATCGACGGAAATCGCCAGAAGCGTTGAACGTCTGCTGCCGGAGCTCCTAACAAAGTCCGGCGATACCACTCCGAGGATACACAACATGGCAGTGCACACAATTCTCAGCATGGCTGATTGCAAATGCGTTCGTGAGCTACACATAATACCGGTACATCTGACTAGGCCAGTGAACAGTAGCACGCATCAGAGACTGGCGCTGAGCAGACTAGAGATGGTAGAGCAATTGATACTGAGTCATGGTATCTCCACTGAGAAGCAAAGGTGATTCTAAACGATATCCACAGGACACTTGAGCCCGCATTAAGAACTAATAGACGTTTTGAGGAATCTCGGGCCTCTGTGTGCCGTCGTAGCGCAGTCCTTCTGACTTCAGTCTAACTGTAGCCGACTCGCAGAGGTCCTTCCTCAAGATCGACCCTGTATTATTAAAACGCAATTACTCTGATAAGGTATTGTAACTGTTGTAGCGGGCTGACCTGTCGGACGTTATCCGAATTAGGTTCTTCTGGTTTGCACCATCCGGCCGAGGCGGTGCGGAAGGTCTCCGAGAGGATTTTAGTGTTAGTGTATAAAGTCAATCCCAGGCTGGTGCGAAAGCAATTGCCGCCTGACGATGACATCACTCGACGGAATTTGTTGTACCGTCAGCTTTTTCACGAATTCGATCTGATCGATTTGCAGGTACAGGATGACGCTTAAAGTCGAAAGGCCGAGTCACGCGAATTTACATGTGCGATTGATTGCAGAGGAAGAAGGAAGCCGAGTCCACCCATAAAGCAACAACGACGCCTACGCGAACTAAATCTACGGAAAATAATGTAACTAGTTTAACCAAATCACCTTCGAGATCGAGCCCGGTCGTGAGTACCGGAAGTTCAACGAGTATCACATCTCCGTCCGAGAACAGTGTCGATCATAAAGGAGATAAGTAAGTATAGCATGATTGAAATTCATGTCAATTGCAAAGGATATAACATTTTTATGATGCCTGTCTCGTTTAGAATGTGCATATTTTGCCTGTCGAAGGGTCAAGTGTACTCTGAAGAAGGTTTGAACATACATTACTGGAGGACTTGTCCTATGTTAACAAAATGCGAAGCGTGTAAACAAGTCGTAGAGATATCTTATCTGAGTCTACATTTATTAAGTAAGTACACGTGGAAGATATGAAGTGAAACAAACGAGAAAAGACGATAAATAAAACTGATAACTCTATTTTGTGTGCTAATCGTGTTCAAGAAAAAATTGTTTCCTAAATTTGGATTGATGCTCTTTCTTTGTAGATGAATGCGATATGAGAAGTAATTACGTGAAATGCGAGACTTGTAAACAGGCGGTGCACGAAAGAGCATTCGAGAACCACAGACAGGACAAAAAATGCACAAGTATGCGAATGTATTGCTATACTATCGCGCTACGATTTATAATACGATTATTGCCAATTCAAGTACATGAGAAATGAGAATCTTGATTCTTATTTTAGAACCTATAGAGGGATATGAACGCTGTCCCCTTTGTTCAGCTTTAGTCAATCAAAACAAGTGGAGGGAACATCTCATGGGAGAACATCCGTGTATAAATAATCCACGAAGCAAAGTTGGGAAAAGCTGTGAGTATTAGTAGTAATAGAAAGTGTTTAGTTTTTTTTTTTGCAAAATTCAATCTTTATTTGAAAACAAACCAAGAGAGCTCAATCATCGAAATATTTCCCGAGTTCAACGAATAAACTTATTATCGATGATCATCTGCCATCCTTCCAGCAGTTTGCGAATTTCTAGATGATAGAAACTCGCCGGCTTCGAAGCAATAAAATTATCGATGTTTTTTCGGACTTCTTCTTCTGTTCTGAAGTATGTATCAGCCAAATGATGCTGTATCGCCTGAAATAGGCGGTAATCGGATGCCTTGTAAATACGCCACATGCGAGAGAAGTTCCTAGTCCAACGCAAAGATGATCTGCTTCGTTGCCTCAGCAACATATGACCATGCGTTATCATGTAGCAGGATGTTGCGGCTTCTTGTTCAGTGAATGACTTTTCTTCTTTCAATGCATCGTTCAAATTGATAAGCTGCATAGTAGCGGTCCGCCGTGACTATTTTACCCGTTCAGCAGCTGATAATAAAGCACATCTTTCCTAGAGCAGAATCTTTTTAGCGTGGATATTGAGTTCTGTAGTAGGTGTCGTTGGTTAGATAAGGCCTGATTGCACCAACATTATTTTAGCTTTAAGCGAAACTTAAACATATATCTATCTTTATCTTTCTTTCTAAATGAATAAAGACAGACGTATATTTAAATCTCGCTTAAAACCAAAATAATATTGGTGCAATCGGGCCTAAGATCTATGATTTTTTGCGTTTGCAGTTGTATAAGATTCACTTTTCATAATCTATTATGATTTAGTACAAAAATTTTTTCTGTTAAAACTGAAACTTACCAAAGATAGTGCAGTATCGTACTGGTATACTTTGCTCTCTTCAATCAATTCATGCGGCATCCATTTTTCTTCCTTTTGAATCTTTCCCATTTTACGCAAACGATCGGAAATGACTTTTTAGCTGACTCCCAGCTGTTTCGCAAATTTTTTTTGAGTTTGCACTGTTTTGACTTAATAATGCCTGTAGCTCATCCGATTCAAATTTGACAATTCGTCCAGAACATAGTTAATTTTTCAGATCAAAGTCTCCGTTGCGACATATTATTTTTCATAAGTTATGTGACTTATAGCATATTGTCACCATATGCAATATAAACCATTTCGACAGCTTTAGTAACGTTTTTCTGAAGATGACATACTAGGATAGAATATTAAGTGGATAGAATATTAAATACGCTCTTTGATCATGGCCTTCATAAAATTCTGACTTTTGAGCTTGTTGCTTGCCTGCTATGTCACATTGCGTTTTGTAATTCTTAATCAACACTGCAAATCACAAAAGGATGGGAAAATATTTCGATTTGAAATATTGATCGATGTAAAATTTAAAGCTAAAAATTTTCTACTACTACTAACATTTTAAGCTCGACAGAGTCATGAAAATAAAAAGTTCTGTGTAGAAAAATTTTTCGAGATACTTATTTTTTTGTGTCAAACTTGATAATGGATGCAATTTTACCTCAAATTTTCTATATAATTTCAGGCTCGAAGTCACCATCTAATTCTCAAAATCTTAGTGGCAAGTTGACGTCGCCAACGAGTAGGGATTATTAGCATCAGGCATCAACTTCGAAGCCAACGGAGGAACTCGAAAAGTCTTAGAAGAATTTTGATTTTATTTATTTTATAGTTTATCTATACGTTATGAGCTACCCAGCGTTTTTCATATTTGTATCTATATTTAAATGGTTTTTATAGCAGAACCCGTCCTTTATTCGTAGAAATCTACATTAAATGGATAATTAGTCGTAAGTTGGGAACTCGAAGTTTGAAAATTTAGATATGGTACGTTACGTGAAACGAGAGTTCGCGAAAGTCGTATGGAAGATATGCTTTGGCAGGTAGCCAAGATGCAGAATATTAGAGGTTGTTAACAGGTTCCACTCATTCTATCGTTATTGCATGATATCCAGGGCATTTGTGGGGTTGCATCAATTACTAGGTAGTGTTATCAAATGTTACAACATCTGTCATTTCAGAATTCCTCTGCATCCGGCCATATTTATATTAAAAATTTGTACTATACTACACTATATGGCAAGATGCGTCAAATAGGCATTAGGCCCTAGAGTGGGAAGCTCCTGATCGCTCAAACATTAGATAACGCATGTAATTTCATAAAATAGTTATTTCATAGAAAACGGACAGTAAAAATAATCATGTTCATCATCATCATTGTCAAAGTTCTTATCCTATAAAATCATATTTTTATTCGGCTTATTTATAACACGATTCTCAGTGGTTATTACATCATCAGAACGCTCGGTCACCGTTAAGGAAGACGAAAAAAACGTTCCCATTTAAATAAAAAACTTAATTTAATTATTTCACTTAAATTTAGTTTGCAGAGCGAAAATAATGTGCATAAGACATTATATGTAGGGAACTTGTTAAATCATAATTACGACGTAACAAGTTATTTATTTGTCTCGATCTTTATGTCATCAATTTTCTCTGTGCAATCGCCATTCTCCGTCACTGTTTCTTCACTAATGGAATCTTCGGTTTCAATTTCACCGTCGTTGACGTCTTCAGTGGATACGGCTGCGCGACTTTCTTCAAACTTATTTTTCTCTGTAGAATTGTAATATAAATAATCATATTCTTCCACATTACGCGCAGTATATGCAATACTATATTATGTTTAACATACCAAATTTAGAGCAATCCGCTCCTAAAAGGCGTAAATAGTGAATCGCGTCACAAGTAGGCACATATGCTCTAAGAGATATTATTCCCTTCCACCCAACCATTTTGAGATTTAGCGGGTTCAGATTGTCAGTTCTCTCTTCTTTGTATAACAGTATACAACTTCCGGTCGCTTAAATTAAATATATTTTTCAAGCAATATTTGTTATACAATATAAGAGCGAAAAAAGGAAACGTACTTACCGAAATTCTTCAGACGTTCCTGAGTGTCTAAACTCAATTTTACAATTTCAGGTGGTGTGAGTGGATCATTGTTTTGTAAAAGCATGATTAAATCTTCTTTTGAAACGTAAAGTTTTCTCTCATCACTTATATAGTCAGCGATACTTTGTACTCCTTCTTGAGCAAGTCGGAATTTCATATTTTTATTGTCACATCGCACGAATGTCTTAACGCCGGTGTTAATAAGCTTGACCTTATTCTCGTTACATATCACTAGATCGCGAATCGCTGGTGACGTGAAATAAATATTTTTCTTTTTCCCTTCGTGACTTCTTACCAGCAGACGTCGTGGGTCCAAATTATTAGATATACCATAAAAATCTCTGGATAAGTATATTGAACAATATGAAAAAAGCAATTATATCACGTAATAGTAGTGCTAATAATAGCAACTAAAAATGAACGGGCTTATTAGAAACTCTAATGATATGTATAGATCAGATATAGAATCATTTTCTCTTTTGACTGACTAGTTGAAAGTGAGCAATTCTGAGATTGGTGTATAGATCAGTATATAGATTCTAAATTAGTAACAGTATAAAAAAAAAAAAAAACTAAAACTTACTTAATAGATTGCCATGCATCTTCAGATTCGTCCTTAAAAAAGACAAACGGATCTTCTCTGTAACCAACAATCTTTTTCCGTTTCCTTTGTGGTTTTATTCCTTCTTCTAATGGCCTTTTCCCACTTTCTGGAAGTTTTGCATCTCGTGCAGCCTCTTCTTCGAGACTCAATTCATTCTTGTTTTTGTTATCAGCAACGTTCTGACTTAATGTTTCACTTTCCCATGGCAAGGATTTTATTTTTTCCAGTACAGCCACAAAAAAGCCTCCAGTATCTTGATGGTGTGGTAATATTCTCATACTATGTAATTAAAAAAATATAAATACAACAATGAAGCGTCTTTTTTAGCTATAATTTATATGATATTTACCAACGTTCAAGATGAAACTTGGGGGCTTCGTTCGCTGATGGAGGAAACATTTTCGGTCGTATTTGGGTCTGCCACTGTTCCGGAACTTCCTCCCAGACATTATAGTATTGTAAATTTTTAGATGCCGGTTTCCAGTGTGCGATACCTGATTGTAAAATACAACTTACAAACAATGTAGTATAGTTTCCAAGATTTATAAGATATCTTTATACTAAAATGTCTCTTTTCCTGTATTTTTTAACAAATATTTGAATATTTCATATATTACTTTCTTAAAACACTAACCCGGGTCACATATTAATCCTGGTACTAAATCTCTACAGTCCACTAATTGTACCGAATCTCCAGTCTCAAGAAGGATCCTATGAAGTACTGCTTCATTTTCAATAGGATTTAATGAACAAGTAGAATACACCATCCTTCCTCCAACTGTTAGCAATTCCAAGCCACGTTTTGCTATCCTATATTGAATTCTTCAAAAAAATCAAGATTAATATTCTGCATAATTCTAAAATATATCAACTTATGACAAATTTTATTTACCCATGGAGATTACTGCCATTAGCAGGACTCCATTTGCACCATATATCTGGATTCTTTCTCATTGTACCATCACCACTACATGGGACATCAGCGAGTATCCTATCAAATCTATAAAAGAATAAAATTTATATAAGAAAATTCCTGATGATTAGCTAATTATATATACACATATATTATAAGATTATGAAATCTACATTACATACTTTAAAATATCTTTTGTACCATCTGGTTTTGTAATTGTAAAATTGGGCATTATAGATGAATCGTGATTTGTAATGAGGATGTTTGGACTGTTTAGTCTCTTAGCTTGATGCACCAGCTTATAACAACGATTATTGTCAAGATCATTGGCTATCACAAAACCCTCTAGAACAACAATTAATTACTGAAATTTGTAGTTATTAAAGTAATTGAATATTTATTACCTGGAAGAATATTTCCCTCATCTGCGTGTATCATCTCTATGAGCTGAGCTGTCTTTGATCCAGGTGCAGCACACATATCAAGAACCTATAAAAACAATTTATGTATTTTATTCTATTTATTGTTTTATAAAATAAATTTAATAGTTTTAAGTAAGGAATAAACTTCTGAAAACCACCTATACCCTATTGTCACAAATTTTAGCTGAAATATTACAAATAATGTCAACTAAATGCTCTTAAATTAATTTTTATTAACAAAAAAGTTTAATGTAAAAATGTTAAAAATGTTCAAATAATATTATATATATATTAATGTTATATTACTAGTTAATTGTTAGTGTTATATTACTTACTTATATTACTTTCTCAGAAAAATCTATGTACCATATGCTGAGAGAAATTATTCAATAAAAAATTAACAAACAAATATTTCCGATAAAAATACCGATGAAATTTGTATTCGATCAGGAAATATCCTAATAATATATAATGAAAAATATCGGTTCATAATTTTTTGATCGGTTCATAATTTTTTATCTGATGAAATATCATTATGATAATTGATAAAATTTAATCAAATATCCTGATGGAACATAAAATTTGATCAGAATTTTATCGGAAATATCCGTTTGTTAATTTTTTATCGGATTTCTTTCAGTGTATATTTATGGTAAAATCGAACTTAAAGGATGCAATTTGCTGACATATATATGTATAGAAACAATATATATATATGGGCGGAAAAGGAGACCCGCATTTCTTTCTGCACCTCTAATTCAAAAAGCTATTCTAAACTCAACCTATATTACTTTGATATATATTGTCAAGATAATTTTGATATATATTGTCAAGCAAATATTATCACATCAGCAAATTATTTTTTACAAATTTTACGAATAAATTTAACTATAATAAAAAATTAAATATATAAAAAATTTGTCTAACATATATTTTTCTAAGTAATAAATAAATATATCTATTAAATCTTTGCCTTATTAAATTAATAATTCTATAATACATTAACAATAATGGATTCCAAAAAAAAATTAGCAGAACATATATTACATTATTTAGTTTTGTAAAAAAAAATCTCAAGTAAGTTTGTATATACATTCCCTGCTATCAATTTAGAAATTATATTGAATGGTTTACAGTTTTATGTTTATAATTATATTCCTTCATGATTGATTTCATGTTTATAACTATATTCTTTCATTGAATGACTTACAGTTTTGTTTATAACTAAATTGCATGGTTTTCCAACAATTAGATTGGATTTCTGTATAAGAAGCACATTCTATATCAATAGTATTATTTGAACATTTTTTATATAGTAAAAACTTTTTCACCGATAAAAATCCATTTAAGAGCATTTATTAGACATCATTTGGAGTATTTTAGCCAAAATTTATAGCAATAGAATATGGATGATTGCAAGAAGTTTAGCCCAAGTACCTTGTGTGAAGGTTTGACATCCAAAACCAGAGGAGGAACCATACTAACTACTTCCTGTCTACTGATGTTACCACTGTTAGTTTCAGCAATAAGAAAGTTATGTAACCTGAAGTAAACTTCAGATCGTCTGATATCTTTTCTAGTCAATTGCAATTGCCAAGCCAGTTCTTCCGGATAAAAAGGTAAACTATGTAATATAGTTTTTACCTCATCATTAGAATTTTCATTATCACCATTTAAATTTGTATTCAAAATTCCTTTAAAAAAGTCACTTTTGATTATCTCTAATAAAGCCTTTGCTTCTATTTTAGAGCCGGTGATACGGAAAGCAACTGGTAGGTTGGTCCTCATTGTACCAATAAATGCATCCCATTTATCTTCTGGAACTATTCCTTGAGTCTTATAATAATTCTCAAAGTCCTTATTCTCCCTAATAATGTCTGGATAACTTCTTTGGGGGACTTTGTCCCATTCATCCTTTTTCTATATACATTAATAATATATATTTCAGTATTTTTAAAACATTTACATCGCCATCGTTTATTAAATAAAATATTAAATAAAATGAAAAAAGATAATTGTTTTCAAAACTTCAAAATTATACTAATAAAAATACAAAAAAATTAGTAAAGCACAGTAAACATAACCTCTCAAAGTTTATTAAAATGCAATATTGAAAATAATCGAACCTTTTGCTTCTCGCGACGCTTTTCAGCAAAGTTCTTTTTCGGTTTATTTTTCCATCCTTTACCCATTTTTCAATCACAATACGTATTTCTTGTTAATCAACACAAAACAACTGCGCGCAGTGAGACTAACACGTGTCTGCACAATCGTACTAAAAATGGGCGATGTTCGACTAGATGAATTAAAGTTAAATTCTTCTCTTTCATTAAAAGATTGGTTGTTTTCTTTGTTCTCAACGTCGATTTATTCAAATGTTGTCATATTTTTTTTATACAAAACATATTCTCTTCCGAATATTTACTGAAATCGATATCTTTTGTAGTTCCTGAAAGAAAGCAAAAAATACATGCGGCATATAAGCATTTGACCGCGACGTCGTGCTCAGGCTTTTACATGCCGTTAGCATTTATTGCTTAATTTCGGCAACTACAAAAGATATCGATTTCATTCAAAAAGCACTGTCTTCTCCACACTTTACTCTATTGGAATTAGTTGTTTATAATATTACGATTAATACCACTGCTTTAGGTAAAGTATAGAAATGCGCGAATGTTTCGATGTTGCGATCAAGCTCTTACATGCCGCTAGCATTTATTCCTTATTTCTCCGCAACCACGAAAGATATTGATGTTATTTAAAAAGTACTAGTTTTTCCATAGTTTATGCTACTGGAATTAATGTTTTATAATAATTACTATTATTGCACTTTCAAAACTATAAGTTGAGTGTGCAATAATATAAATGATTGCTGCACTAATGCTATATGAAAGCTACATTTTATTTAAACTCAGATAACGTAATTTGTTTTAAGATTAAGGCAAATCTTTTCGATTTAAAATGTCTTGATGTTAGGTAAAAAATTTTAATTTTAAATTCATGCAAGTATATATAATAAACTTTTATTAAAACAAATATACATATTATTCTATATGAATTCCTATATATTCGATATATTGTTAACAGTCATCTAATGTAGGCAATTTGATACAATTTGAACATCCACTTATAAACTGTGAAATGTATGATCTCAGAATCGTTAGTTAGTTGCGACAACAATTGTTGACTTATTCTGTCACAGAATCTCTTCGTACAGTTTTGTTTACAATAAAGATTGAAAATGAGAATTGAATTAATCGGGATCAATGCAAATTGTTGGCGCAATCGGACGAGTTTTGTATTCTAAAAATGTATTATTTACAAAATTACAGTGCCGATTCCGCGTTGTTAAAGTACAAGGTCCTGATAAGAAAGTCCATCAGATTCTGGTGATTCCATCCTATTTCTTAAATGTTCTAACGTGTTTGCTAAATGTTTTTGTATCTGATCAGTTTCCTCACTCGCTTCCAAATTGGGAAGTTCCTCTCTAATTTTCGCAATTACTTGATTTAATATTTGCACAGTCACCTGAAAGAAAAATATGTTTATATAAAGGTCTATTCGGAAACAATAAACTCACATGTGCTTTACTGTAACCGAATCTTACGGCTGTATTTCCTTTCTCGTAGAAGTAAATATAATGATTCAGTAACTCTACGTATAGTTGCACTTGCACCGACGTGTCCATACATTGGCTCGCTATCCTAATACCTTTCTTCAAGCAATCTAACACTTTACCACCTTCTTGCATCTGAAATAGTACTTTTCGTTAAGAATTCGTCTCAAACATTCGAAGTTCAATGTGTATACCTCTTTTCCGTCTGTAGCTAAAGACTTTCCCGACCAAAATATGTGTGAGCAAGTTGCGACACCTCTACATTGATCAGGTTTTCTCAACAATTTACTGGCGTATAGAGCGCATTGATTGCGCACCGGCTCTGCATTTTCTTCGCCAAAGCAACTCATTTGTTCGAATGTGGCGATGATCAAGGTAATCGCCGCAAGCTGCGCCTTCGAGTCGCTTATCTCGTCTTCGTATATCGAGAAGGCTTGGCTCATGAATTCATAAGCAACCACCTCGAAATTATCGAAACGGATTTCACCAATCGCTATCGCGCCTTGCAGAAATAACCTTAAAGGTAATTCAGCCAATTCAGCCTTCATCAGAGCCGTGATAGTAGTGTGACAGAACTGAAAGATTTTCTGACATTTCTTTTGCCATATGTCATCCTGCAAGAAAGAAATTATCAGTTTCTACGTATTACGTTGCATACGTATTCAATGATTTGATTGTGTCAAAATTACTAACTTGATCTTTCAATCCTTTATATGTGAAAGCCAATTGATAACTTTGGAAAACTATAGGCGGCAAAGTGTACTTTATTCTTTTGTTACCGCCAGTGCTGAAGTGCTTTCTTGCGGCACTTAGTATCATATACTGCTGATCCGCCGTCTCAGACTTAAAATGATGTATCAGTCTGCCGAGTAATCCCTGCTCCTCGGCGAAATCTTCGGGATCTTCCTCTATGTTAGGTTGATCCGGCTGATCTTGTACCAAGGGTGACACCATGGACAGTACTGCGTCTACTTGCTCCTGCGTTGGTATCAATGTTTCGTTTTCTAAGATATTTGTTATTATATAAATAGCCAGCAGTTTTCGGCCCTCATAATCGAAGTAATCCAGTAGAGGTGCATAGTGTTCAAGTTTCAGCACGGTTAATATGTTCTTATAATTATCTACAGGAATTTTCATTAATCTCACTAATTCTCTCGAAACGGCGCTATTATACTCCAGTCTATAAAAAAAAAATATACATATATATATAAATATTCAATGTACATACAGCGTGCATATGATTACTTAACATGTACGACAAACTGCACTCACTTGTCGACATTTTGTTTCTGGAATATCTGGACGGTGGTGAATAAAACTTTATCTACATAATCCACTCGATCGGGATAGCATTTATGTGCTAAATTTATGAGAGCTACTTGGAGCGACACGATATCTTCAGGAGGCATATCTTGTCTTGTCTATGAAAGAAACATTTTTTATACATATTTGATAAAAGCAAGTATACTATAATTAAAACAAAACATTGTTACCATTCTCAGACTTAAACTAGATGGTAAGGAATTCTTTGGTTTCTAAATCATGAAATAATTCAAACATTTGTGCAGTATCCTATCGTCATTGAATGGTAATTTAACAAAATCAACTATAAATTCTATTTCACAAATACCTGTATGATAGTTGCAATTTGATCACTGAATACATCAAAAAGCTTAACGTCTTGTGGAATTCCTGGCACTTGATTAGGACTTCCTGGCCCTCCTACACCGTCGGACCGTTGACTAAAGGCTGCAAGCCGATCAATCAACGATATAATTATGTTTTTAACATTCACTCCAGTTTGCAATTCTGCACAGGACTTGAGAAATGCATTTAACGTTTGCAAATGAAATTCGTCGGGAAACACCTAGTTACAAATAATAATTAAATATATGATTTTCATATTTTTTTAGATAAAACGGCGTTGTACAACTTGTAGAAAATGTACCTGAATTATACACTCCATAAGATATTCTTGTGCTATTGCGTCTCTGCAACTAACTACCTGCTCCAAAATGCCTGGCAATACAAGCTGAAAATAGCTTTATAGTAATGCATACAATAAAACTGGTTGAAAAAATAGATATTACAGAATTTACCTTCTTGTATTTATCTAATGTCACAGACTCCAGTTGACTAAGTCGTACAAGATTTGTTCCCACTAAAATTCTAAGCTCTTCCCTTTCCCTTTCTCTTCTCTCTCTATCTCTACTGTGACCCTGATGTTGCATGCGTACCCACAATTTATTCATTTCTGCAAAATTCATGAGAACAAAATCTATGCTGTCACGGACCTAGAAATGAAGTTTCAGGAATAATAGTATGTACAAAGAGAATCTAGCAATTTATAAAATACATACAGTTCCATCCTCGTCTTCACTTTCAGCGACATCTGGCAGAATGTTTCTTGTGCATTGTAATAGATAATTTCTCAAGAATAAACCTCGCAAAGGATGTTGCACACCCCTGCACATTTCCACAAGATCTCGCAGAAGATCTCTTTTTAAGCCAGGAGTGGTCTTGATGTAAACCAGACCAACGGTGATAAGTAAATAGCTGTAATTTTCAACAAACTATCTTACTTTTCAATTACAGGAATAACAATACAGAATTATAAAACATGTACATACAGTCTAGGTACAATATTGCCAACATATTGCACTAATTCGTATAGGTCTGTAACTTTTCTTCCTTTCTGGAATTCATCCAGCAAATAAAGTTCTAAGTGCCGTAGTTCATCTGTGATTGCCATGTCTAATAACAATTGTTATAAGGAATATTTCAATTTATCAACACATAAAGCCTGAATAACCATACTGGATGTCACAATTAAAATAGTTTTTAAAAATAATTAATAAGGATACACAACTCGTAATAGCTCTTTGGACTTAGAAGCGAAGTCCTAAGTTCCCCCAGCATAGTAGAGGCGTGTTTGAGAGCATCCATCAGTTTGGATTTGTCAAGACAGTGTTTCATCTGAAAAGCTTGTACTTTCACCACGCCAATCGCATCCTCCAGCAGTTTTTCTTGATCTTCCATTCCCGTCATGGCAGGTGTCATTGGCTGTGAGAAAAACAAAGATACCTACCAGGAACACCAGGTAGTACCATGCTAAATAAGCTATCCAACTCAAGCATGCACCAAGGATCCTGAGAGTCGGGGATATCGAGACAAGCATGACTAATCTACTTGTAAACATAGTTAGATATGAATGTATTGATGGGAAAGCAAAATGTAACATTGAACGACGTATTAAATCACTGAAACCTCAGGATTTGTTCACTTTCAAGATAAGATTCTTCTAATAGGAGGACACACAAATTGTGGGCTGCACAATAGGGGTATAGATGCAACTATCAGACATACGTACGACTTACAATTTATATAAACGCTAATTAGATCGCGCACAAAAACAAGAAATTAAGCATTCCATTTCCAGTGATCGCCTTCTGAAAATCACGACGAAACAGTTCTCAAACTTTCTGCGACAGAGATAACCTTTACGACGCCAGATTAATTTGCGATGATTAGCGCCACACAGATTGAGAATTCGAGGAGAATTCTTATCCTCATAAGCAGAACTGCGTAACATGCTTCTTATGACCCGACAATACTTACCATTTTCTTGAGAAAAATACACAATTGCTCGTTGCGTTGTGAATACCCTCTTTGACAAGAAACTAAGTACGCTCGACTCCGTTAGAGTTCCGACAGTTCCGATAGAATGATAATCGTTCCGACCCGCCGACTCGTATCGCTATATTGTGTCCTATCGCGTTATTTGTGCTTCTTTATGTGAATTATAATTTTAAATTTTCGAAAATGATTTTAAGTAGAATTTAAGTATGATTCAACAAATAAATCAAATTAGATCCAGATAATTAATATCGATTTTCTTACGTTTTAAGGTAATTAGATATTTTAATTGACTGCACAATAAAAACTTAACAATAACGTATTTGAATACTATTTCTATATATTGTTAATAAAAGAAGTTATATACACAATTAGTTTAAAATATGAATATCGGAATACTAATTTAAAATGAATATTTAAATGAAAAGATACAGTATATAGGAAATTTTATAATTTAATATTTTAATATTTTATGTAAATCTTACATTTCAAGAGGAAGCAAGAAGAAAGGAGTGAAATTGCTTCATAATAGTGTGATGTGGGATAGTGTACAACTATAAAATACAAATGGGATAGATACAACTACAAAAACTTTTGTTACGTACAAATAAATTTATTGTAACTCGATGTATGCAGTGCTATGTCAGATTATCCAACGAGTGTGGATTTGTAGGAGTCTGCTCCTAGTGAATAAATAACCTTTCTGTGAATCAATGCCAACAACAGAGCAGGGCAATTGTAAAGTGTGAAATATTATTTAACCTTCAGTGTTCTCATATATGCATCCAGTTCATCTTCAGATTCGCTTTGGTCATTGCTTTTGTTATGTGGAAGCACAGTTTCAGGGGATTCAGAATCAAAGTACTTTTCTTCTTCATCTTGATTCCTTAATTCTACATTATCATAAGCCTCATTGTCATCCACAGTGCTAAAAGTGAATAATGAAAATTCGGAATATAATACAATGGCTATATATTTAAGTATTTGATAGAAAAAAGTAGTATAAATTATAAACAGAAATATATAAAGCATGCTTTTACATTTATCACATTAGTATATGCATGTACAAATTCTTAAATATTTTATTTAATCTTAAAAAATCATTCATATTTATATATTCCAAAATGCTTTCTTATAAAGCTTTTATATATTAAGTTAGCATATTAACATAATAGATGTACCTATAATCAAAATCTCTATCTTTACCATCTAGAAAACTCTGATACATGTTTGTGAGAAATTCCTGTCTGAGCAATTGTATTTCTTCATTTGATACCTTGTGTCGTACTTTACTATTTTGTAATGTCTTATTTCTGTCTTTATCATTATTATCTATCTCATCTAAGTATCCCCAATGAAAACAAATTTGTTTATTGGAACTACTTGTCTTGGATGTGACACTGTCCTTTCCATCATTATCATCACCATTACTATTATCATCATCATCATCATCATCATCAGAATCATTCTCCTCACGAACACTGTCTTCTTCCTTTTGTTGGGATTTCAAGTATTTTTGCAGTTTGTCTCTCTCGATAGTCTCCATAAGTATATCCACATAATTTGCATTGCGCGTGACACTGTCTCTAGCTTTCTTCTCCTCTTCTGTCAAGTACTGCCCTACCAAGTGTTCATATAATAACGGATTTCTTTTCATCATCTCACACTCACTGAAGTACTCTCCCTTCTCTATCAGTGTCTTCAGAGCTTCATACCTTCTATTTCTGACATCAACATGTCGTGTTAAATTATTGAAGTATCTCCGTAACCTGCTTATATGATAAGCTGTTTCATAATCTTCATTTTTGCTAAAATATTCTAGATGTTCTTCCTTCAGATAATGTCCAAACTTAGACAGGAACAAGCAGTGGTTCTTTTCCAGCAGTTGCTTAGCTATGACACGTTTTTCCTCAAACGTCAATTCAGGTTCTCCCTTCTGTTGGCTTTTGAAAATTGCTGCACTGTTACACACATAATTTAGCATTTCTTTTTCAAGATTGTCACGTACTGTATCTGACAAAGAAAAGTTTGTGCTTTGTTTGTTGTTACTATCACTCTCATCACATGGAACATCCTTTTTAGTTTCCAACATTAAATTTTCTTTCTGTGTTTCGTTTTCGTTCATTATTCGCAATATATAAATTCAAGAAATTGAGCAAATGATTTGCGTACTATGCTCGCGTATCACAATTATTACGAAGAACTAATCTCAAGAAGAATATGTAAGAGTTTTTTATATTGCAATTTTTTCCTCTTTTATTATCACTTTCGTCAATAGATTAAAAGTTATTGTTACTATTGTTTATGCTCGTGATAAATGATTAAACGAAATAAACATGCGATTCGGCATCCGCACGATACACGACGAATGCAAGATGATATCTTGCCGGACAATCAATCGCCAAACATGCGTCACTATGCGTCACTCTTATAGGAAACCTAACCTGTAAGTGTCACCAATATGAGAGCGCAGCAGCAAAATGTAATTCGACTGAGGACTCGCAATAAATAGTGCAGTGCTTATTAACATTGGGTGCTTCGATATTTATGGCCAAATTTATCGACCAAAAGGTACATTTCTGCAATATAACCAATTACATTGTTTGCTAATGATGCATTAAGTCCTCTTATCTGGCAGTAATTGATGATTATCAGTCAGTTTAATCGATCATAGTATCGTGTTGCAATTGCTAATTATCAAGTCTACTGTAACATACACTTAAATTAACTTTCCCCTAATTGATTAATGAAACACTATCATTCAGCATGTTTGTACGTATGGATTATGTAAAAATTATCACAACTACATCAACAATGTGTGTCTAAACAAAATAACAATTTCACACAATCTTATTATTTCATTTAAATGTTCTTTTCTTTGTCTGTTTTATTAAAAAAAAAGCTTTTATAATTGTATCATGTTTTTACATATTGTATATTATTTATATGATCTCGATTGATTGTTTTTACAATATTTGTTTAACCTATTGAAGAGGAAAAAAGTTCTTAATTATGAATTAATTATAATACTGCAGCATGGCAGAGGATTGGTTTTATGATGTGGAAAGATGGAAGTGGAACTGGACAGAGTTCTGTGGACAAAATAGAGGTATTAAACCTTTGAATCCAGAGACACATGACCTAGATATTTGTTTCCAACAACTTTGTCTTCAGGTCAGCATAATAAATGTTGCATTGCATTCAATTTGGTGCTTAAGTCAGCACAATTATTATTTTTACTAAGTTCACTTCACAATTTTCAGGTGCCAGTATTAGTTCTCATAGCTATAATTTCTGCGTATCATTGTGGAAAGAAACATACAGTTATAAGACGACAACAGTATACCTATCGTGCTATAAACATAAGAATTCTAATCACAATATGCTTAGTGATACTCCCTATTATAAGGGCATATATTATTTTGACAAAAACTACTATCCCTTTGGTGCACAATGAGGTGCAAGACTATAATACATTAGTACCACGAAAATTAAACACTTTTCCCTCTGATAGCATAAATTCAACTTTGGATGGGATAAATATCATAAGCAGGATACATGGCGGATTAAATCGCACTGTTGGGCTTGACAAATTACTTTTCTCACCGAAAAGCAATGTTAATCATATTGCTACAACAGCTATTGCACCATACATCAGCGATTATGAGCCAATATTATCAAAAATTAACGATAAATTCACTTCCGCTAAACCAGTGGATTATCTTGTCGCGGGAACTGAAGGTTTAGCATGGGTTGTGCATCTCTTCTTTATATTGAGCTTAAAACGTGGAAGACGTGGCCCCAATCCACGAGGTCCGATATTGATACGAGCACTAATACTCCTTTTGATTGTTATTTCTATGCTATTACTACGCAGCCACGTCAAGAATACACCGAAAGATGATGTTTTGCCAAACTTATCGCTGGGATTTAGTATCAGCGTGGTCACTTTTCTGATACTGTATATCATAACATTGATACCAGGTCCTAGTAGACTGGAGCACATGAGAACATCATCTCGAAATATTGCAGTAAGTTTCTGCTGGTCTCTATCACTAAACTGTCTGGCAGTTTATTTTATTTTTAGTACTATTATGATTATCCGGGGCGACATTCAAATAATAGAAAATATTTATTCAATTACTCATTACATATCCAGGTAGACAGAGATGAGCATACCATGCAAAATATATTTAATATATGTTTTGCGATGCTACAGCACAATATATTTAAAACATGTTTGCTTTAAGAAGTACACACTTATTATGGCACAATTTTGATCAAAATATTTAGCTTACATTTCTACAATAATTCCGGACTAATTGCGTTCTCTTTTTGACAAAATAAGCAGCAATTTTCATGGTATCTCAGGTGATTTCATTTATATACTAACAGAATTCTTATTGTATATAAGGGTGCACTTTTATTATATTTGTGCTAGTCAGCACAATATACCAAAATATGTCTGGATAGTAACAAACAAAAGTCTCAGGCCAAAACAAATAAATATTAGATAACGCATAAATATTAGTATTGAATTTTACATAGTTGTAATCTATTTAAAACACGTCTGACTGTAAATTATGTTGCCCTTCTGTATCTGATTCCTAAAACAAACTATTTATTTTTATAACTTGTAAACTAAGTTTTAAATAACATTTTGCAAAAGAAAAAATCATCTTAAAATTCGTTCAAGAGTATGACATTTTAAAGACAAGAAGTTGTTTTAAATAATTCTGTATATTTTTTACAATTCCTTGTTTTAAACTTGTCTGCCATTTTATCTAAAAGCATGAGTCAAGTAAACAAAAATGCCACCAATCAACGAAGCACTGTTTGTAGATAGGAGAACGCACTGCACTATTAAATACTCCCACTTCTTCGTACGTACAATTTCCGGAGGAACAGGATCCAAATTACCTTGGGATTGCTATGGAAGATACAACCATCACCTCGAAACTTCTGTTCCATTGGGTAACTCCGTTAATGGAAAAAGGTGTTAGAGGGTCATTGAGCCATTCGGAGGACTTGTTTGATTTACCCGACCAGATCAGTACCAACACAATCAGCCATAAAATTGATAAATGTTTATATAATACGGTAAACAAGAAGACATAATAATTTACTTTTTAATAATGATATCATATGATACCTTTATTGAATTTTTGTGTGAATGCACATGATAATCAAAATTAATTCTCGTAATAATACTAATGATAACATGTTGCAGCTAAAACCTGTAAGCAACGGAATCGAAAATAACTCGGAAATATCACTTCATCCAAACGTAAAAGTAATTACGAAGAAAGTGACATTGTTCTACTTGCTGCATCAATGTTTCGGCTGGGAATTTTACGCGGTTGGCATACTGAAGTTTATTGCTGACTGTAGCTCATTCATGGGGCCAATATTGTTGAACAAACTGATAGGTTTTATCGAAGATAAAGACGAACCAATTTCATATGGATACTTATACGCATCTCTTATAATAATCAGCGCTATAATTGGTACAAAATCAAAGTTTACACTTTGATATCACTTGAATGTTTGTTACATAAATTATAACGTTGACATTTCTGTAGGTGCCTTTTGTAATACGCATTTTACATTTTGGATGTCAGTTGTGGGCTTGAAGATTCGTTCCGCAATTATTACTTTAGTGTATCGGAAAACATTATATTCTTCTAATATCGATTTGAATCAGAATTTCAATTTTGGTGAAATTGTAAATTTTATGAGTACTGATAGTGATAGATTGGTTAACAGCTGTCCTAGTTTTCATGTATTTTGGAGTATACCTTTTCAGGTAATTAAACATTATGACAATAATGTTCTTCTTCATCATTCTTCTCTCTATATATTAAAAATGCATTTTCTTTGCTTTTTAAAAAAGGTAATACCCAAATTTTTATATTTACAGTTATTCGTGACGTTATATCTTTTGCATCAGCAAATCGGCGCTTCGTTCTTAGCTGGTGTTGCATTTTCGATAATGCTTATACCAATTAATAAATTCATAGCAAATAAAATTGGTAAACTCAGCACTAAATTAATGGAATACAAAGATCAGCGAGTGAGACTGGTAGGAGAGACATTGCGTGGGATAACTACGATCAAAGTTAATGTGTGGGAAGAACACTTTCTACGAAGTATTTTCAGTTAGTATATTTTAGTATAAATTCTATTAATAGGATATTTTCTTTTCGTAACATTCTTATCTGAATACTTTTTTGTTGATTTAGAGCTTCGTGAAAGTGAGGTGAAGTATTTACGAGGTAGAAAATATCTGGATGCTCTTTGTGTTTATTTTTGGGCAACTACACCTGTTCTCATCGCAATATTAACATTTGCGACATACGTTTTGCTTGGAAATGAACTAGACGTCAAAACCGTCTTCACCAGTATGGCGTTGTTAAACATGTTAATAGGGCCTTTAAATGCGTTCCCGTGGGTTTTAAATGGTCTTACGGAAGCATGGGTATCTCTCAAAAGAATTCAAAGAATGCTGGACGTACGTATAGTGAAATTGTAACATGATGCAAACCGTAGCAAATAGTGGGTACTTAAAAAATACTCAATTTTCATTTATAATTTAGCTGCCAGATATGGACGCATCGTTGTACTACACAGATATTACTCCAGACGTAGACTTGTTGTTACAAAATGTAACATTCATTGTGAATAGTCCGAGGAGTAACGATGTTAATAAAAACACAAGTTTGAAAGCTGTAGCAACTCCATCTTCAAGCGCTGAGAATAAAAGAAACGTTACTTTCGAAAGTGACGATACCTTCGCATTATATAATATTAATATGTCCGTGCAGAAGGTAAGAATAGATTTTATAACACGTTTCTTTTATGTGTGAAACAAATATTCCTTCAGGGGCAATTGATCGGTATTATGGGCAAGATTGGAAGCGGGAAAACTCTACTTCTGGATGGTATTTTGGCAGAAATTACAAAAACCACAGGAGTTATAGCAGTTAACGATGACCACAAGGGTTTTGGATACGTGAAACAAAATCCTTGGTTACAACGTGGCACGATTAGAGATAACATTCTGTTCGGAAAAGCATACGATCATAATAAATATAAGTAAGTGTTTAGTTTTTTTTTTTATTAACGCCGATATTAAACTTTCACATATATTTTATACGACATATTAATCTCAATCTGACATTTCTTTTATCTATAACTTTAACAGGAACATTTTAAAGGCTTGCGCCCTCACATCTGATTTGAATATATTACCTAACAAGGACTTAACGACTGTTGGCGAAGCCGGCAATACGTTGAGTGGCGGCCAAAAGACGAGAATCTCTTTGGCACGTGCTATATACGCTGATAAAGACATTTATTTGCTGGATGACATATTAGCGACATTGGACGTCAAAGTTGCCAAATATGTTTTCCAGCATGTAATCCTAGGTCTGCTACGAAATAAAACTAGGATACTGTGTACGCATCAAACACAATATTTGATTCATGCGGATTTGGTGATTGAAATGTCGAAAGGGAAAATTATTAATCAAGGAAAACCGAGCGACATACTGCCCGATCTGGAAGATTACCTTCTGTCAACAGAATCTATCGAATCTGACTTGGATGTCCAATCTATGAAAATACCGCCTATCGAGTTTAGTTTGGCTGGAAATAAAGAAATAGATCCATTACTTGATAAAGAAGTAATGGAGAAAGGAACAGTACATTTTTCAGTGTACATGTACTATACTAAGGCTGTAGGACGATATTTGGCTATCTCGATATTACTCTCAATGATTTTAATGCAAAGCTCGAAAAATATCACGGATTTGTGGTTGTCGTATTGGGTGACCCATACAAACGCAACGACGACCAATTCAACTGACACGTCGACACTGAAAAATTCGCACTTCTATTACAATAATTACGGCTTACATGATACAAATTATTATCTGACGGTTTACAGCCTGCTGGCTGTAGCTAATTCTGTTTTCACTTTGATCAGAGCTTTTATTTTTGCGTATGGTGGTTTACAAGCGGCCATTATGATGCACAAACATCTTTTGAAGACAGTTGTACGGGTGAATATAAGAGTTGAACTTTCGTGATAATTATTCCCTGATTTTGCAAGGATTTTGTTGCGAAAATATTCTCGTTCCAGGCGAAAAGAACATTTTTTGATATTCAACCACTTGGCAGAATTGTAAACAGATTCTCATCTGACACGTATACAGTCGATGATTCGCTTCCTTTCATTGCTAACATTTTGTTAGCAAATCTGTTTGGTTTGATTGCTACTATTATAGTTACGGCTTATGGGTTACCATGGATATTCTTAGTATTAGCACCTCTAGTGCCTATTTATCACTGGATACAAAATCATTACAGGTAAATCTTTCTGTAAATTTTATCTACGAATTAACAATAATTAACAATAATTGTCAAAAGTCACGTTTCCAAATTGTTTGTTATCTTTCAGATTAACGTCCAGAGAGGTAAAACGATTATCTAGTGTAACGTTGTCTCCTCTATATGCCCATTTCAATGAGACTCTTAGCGGCTTGACGAGTATCAGAGCGTACCGTACTGTACCCCGTTTTAAACAGGAAAATGAACTGTTATTAGAAGCTAGCCAAAAAGCGCAATTTGCTTCTCTGGCTGCTAGCCAATGGCTAGCATTGAGATTACAATTTATTGGTGTCACCCTTTTAGCTGGAATCAGCATTATGGCAGTTTTGCAACATCAATACAACATCGCTGATCCTGGTTTAATCGGCCTGGCGATCACATACGCTTTGTCCATAACCACATTACTATCTGGAGTGGTGAACTCTTTTACCGAGACTGAAAGAGAAATGATCGCGGTGGAACGAGTGAAACAGTATTTAGATAATGTACCCACTGAGAACGCGATGGGTGATAATCCGCCCTACGCATGGCCTAGTCAGGGTGTGGTTGAATTTAGAGAAGTCGTTTTAAAGTACAGGTAATAGAAAATTCCTAACTTCGAGAATAGTGTATTTTTATATGGTATTTGGAAAACATAATATTCATCGCATTTTACAGAGATCATTTAGTGCCATCGTTGAAAGAAGTAACGTTTATAACGCGACCTGCGGAAAAGATAGGCGTCGTTGGTCGCACTGGCGCTGGAAAAAGTTCATTGTTATCTTCGTTGTTCCGACTGACGGAAATTACTTCTGGGAATATATTAATTGATAACGTGAACATTCAAACGCTACAACTGAAAGCATTGAGGTAATATCTAGTCAGTTTTTTAAAGGAACTGTCTGAGATTTATTATCGTTGACTGTAAAAAACAACTATTCTAGATCCCGCTTAGCTATTATACCTCAGAATCCATTTCTCTTCTCGGGCACCATCCGAGAGAATGTGGATCCATTGGATCAGTACACCGATGTACATATATACAAAGCTCTGGAGAAATGTAAAGTACAGTCTTTGGTGTATCGATTGGGTGGCTTGGGTGCAGTCTTAGATGAAGGTGGCGGTAATCTTAGCGCCGGTCAGAGACAATTGTTTTGCTTAGTCAGAGCTGTACTACATAATGCTAAGGTATTTCTTATGTGTAGCACCATTCAAATAGGTGATTGTTCGCGTAATACTAAGAACTTGATACTTCTTCGTCGCAGATCGTTTGCATCGATGAAGCTACGGCGAACGTAGACCAGGAAACAGATAAGTTTATTCAAGCGACGATAAAGTCTTCCTTCCAAAGCGCGACAGTGATTACCATCGCTCATAGAATAAGGACGATTATGCACTGTGATAGGTATATCATCTTTTGAATCTAAATCTTTACGTCGTGTAATGAAACTCGGGATAATATGATTTGCACAAAAATGTGAAGGATCAAATTAGTTTCGTGATATGCACTTGATATATTAGTTCTTTTTTTCATTCAAAACTTTCTTTTCCTGTTCAGAGTTTTAGTAATGGGAGATGGAGAAGTATTGGAATTCGATGAGCCAAATTTATTGATTCAGAACGCCGACTCCTACTTCTATCATTTAGCCAGTCAAGAATTTTCGGATCAAGAGTGATCAAGTATACTACAGAATTTCACTTCGGATAGTTTGTGATGACGATGATGATTGTACGTGGTATTATGTGACTGTATATAGTGCATTATATATATAAAATATATTTCTTTAAAGACAAAATATTTTTCATACAAATATGACAGGATTATATTCTAGATTAAGATTACTCTAAGTGCATTATTCATGAAAGCGAATGTTTTTATTTGTGAAACATATATGTGATACATTTTACTATGGTTCGTTGCCACAAACAATAGCCGAAATTGTATGAGGCTTAAGATTCCTTTTTCCTCATTGCGACTATCTTGATTAGTGACAATAGGAACAACATATAAAAAAAAACTCAAAGTTTCTGTAGAATATGTTAAAATAAGAAGATATATACATAAAATGACATTTGTGATGAATTGCAAGCAAAGATTTCTCTTTGTTCCAATCGCCAATAAACAGTCATAAAATTAACGTGACAAAATCACAAAATTAGCCATACCTCACATTAATTTTATGGATATATCTTTATATTTTAACGTATTTTGTAGCGTATTTTGTTGTGTATTTTCTTTCTTCATTAATCTAGAAAATTGTAGCATGTGACCAGGGTCTTTAACTAATGTTTATGGAAAATGATTCTGTGTAAATTATCTTTTCATATATTTTGTATATAAATAAACTTCTCGTGAATGAACATTTTTCTCGATTAACTTTATTTAAAGAACAAGCGTTATATATCTTATTAATATTTTTTCTTTAGACATGTCAATTTTCTCTAAGAATCTACAATATATCAACGTATAATAGTGGAAGTATTTGAATTATATATAGAGTTGCGTTTTTTCATTATGATTTATTACAAATGTTCGTAATCAATATTTCAGCTGTGCATAAAAATACAGAGATGCGAGATGCATGACTATTTTTTTATTTTTTCTGTAGATTATTCTGTAGACTATTCTATCTATCTATGAGATTTCCATTGTTACTAATTGATGACATATTGCTTTTGCGTTTCATTTTACTAATCTATCTTTAAAAACAAGAAAGGCCACTACGGTTTATTTAGATGTATGAAAATCTTAGTTTTCCAACAAATTCTACTTGGAGACTACAATATCTACAATATAAACGAAAATATCGACGATTATATCAAGCGCTTTATCACTTATCGCTAGTTTGATGTCATGGTTTATTACTAGTTTAATTCATTGCTGTCTTACACTAGATAGAAGCGGAAACGAGAAGGTCTCTGTCATCTTACAATCACGATGATTATTCCTTTCTTTTGACTTAGTAACAATATTAATCTCGTCACTGTTACAAGATACGAAACAAAGAAAGGGATCTGAATAATCTCGAAAGAGATTGAAAGAGTTCCGATCGAAAGAGTCGCATGTTGCTTGTGTGAATATGTTTGCTATGCTTCACGTTGATCATGACGCTTGACTCTTCTAAATGGACAATGAAAGAGCGCCGTAGATATGTGCATGCCAAAAGGATTGTTTCATGTCGCTACATCAACAAATTAGCGAATTACAGCTGTTTACAGCCGCGACATCAGGTGTCGTTCGGTCTTCTCGCTGTTACGATAACACAGAAACATTGGTCAATCGATTGCATTGATTAACCAATTTTTTCTAATTAGATCTCAAAAATTCTCTAATTTTTTCTAATAAGATCTCAAAAATTCTCAAAAATATCTAAAAAAATATCATAGTTATTTAAAAATTGGTAGAAAATTTTTCTATTTAGTTTAATGAGTTTTTTTTTCTATAAGAGCGATTGGATATTTAAATCCAGATAGAATAAAATGTAGAATGACTATAAAATATTTGCAAGATGGTATTTGCGATTTATCTGAATCTTTTTTTTCGCTCGAAAGACGTTGCACAAGACGAAGTGAAATCGCGAAGCAATAAATAAGTAGATTTTAAAAAGTTTTTAATGTACTAAGTTTAATAAAGGACCCCGCACAAAACCTATGGAAAATGGTTTTCGGTTAAATTGATTGAAATTTCACTATGTTATAGTTTTCGCCATGCTGATAAAAAGTTATCATTGCACCAAGTCCCAAAAGTCAATATTTCCCAAGATATAAAGGGTCAAAGTAGTGAAATATGGTCATC